TCAATCCCAGAACAACAGCAAAGGACCTTGTGAAGATGCTGGAGGAAACAGGTACAAAAGTATCTATATCCACAGTTAAACGAGTCCTATATCGACATAACCTGAAAGGCCGCTCAGCAAGGAAGAAGCCACTGCTCCAAAACCGCCATAAAAAAAGCCAGACTACGATTTGCAACTGCACATGGGGACAAAGATCATACTTTTTGGAGAAATGTCCTCTGGTCTGATGAAACAAATATAGAACTGTTTGGCCATAATGACCATCGTTATGTTTGGAGGAAAAAGGCGGTTGCTTGCAAACCGAAGAACACCATCCCAACCATGAAGCACGGGGGTGGCAGCATCATGCTGTGGGGGTGCTTTGCTGCAGGAGGGACTGGTGCACTTCACAAAATAGATGTCATCATGAGGAAGGAAAATTATGTGGATATATTGAAGCAACATCTCAAGATATCAGTCAGGAAGTTAAAGCTTGGTCGCAAATGGGTCTTCCAAATGGACAATGACCCCAAGCATACTTCCAAAGTAGTGGCAAAATGGCTTAAGGACAACAAAGTCAAGGTATTGGAGTGGCCATCACAAAGCCCTGACCTCAATCCTATAGAACATTTGTGGGCAGAACTGAAAAAGCGTGTGCGAGCAAGGAGGCCTACAAACCTGACTCAGTTACACCAGCTCTGTCAGGAGGAATGGGCCAAAATTCACCCAACTTATTGTGGGAAGGTTGTGGAAGGCTACCTGAAACGTTTGACCCAAGTTAAACAATTTAAAGGCAATGCTACCAAATACTAATTTAGTGTATGTAAACTTCTGACCCACTGGGAATGTGATGAAAGAAATAAAAGCTGAAAGAAATAATTCTCTCTACTATTATTCTGACATTTCACATTCTTAAAATAAAGTGGTGATCCTAACTAACCTAAGACAGGGAATTTTTACTAGGATTAAATGTCAGGAATTGTGAAAAAGTTTAAATGTTTTTGGCTAAAGTGTATGTAAACTTCCGACTTCAACTGTATGACTCGCAACACAAATACTGTATCTATTTACTCATAGTAGTGTTAGAGGTACTGTGGTCTATTGAACTAACACACATGCAATGGCCTTGGTAGGCTATCATATGTGGAGAATGGAACACCGATTTTATTTTATTATAATAATATGCCATTTAGCTGACGCTACATGAAAGACTGGTACAATACATTTTGTTCGGAATGTTTTGACTTACATGAATAAAATCCGCATTCCACATCTACTAGGCTACAATAAGCCTAAAAGTTAAAGGTTAGACTTTAACTGAGCCACTATGGACATTAAGTTATGTATTTTAATACTGTAAAATGTATCATTATGAGTGCTTGATGCCAGTGCTATCAGATTGATTTGTTTCAACTATCTGCTATTTAAAGGCTACATTAAAGGTCCAATGCAGCTGTTTTTATCTCAATATCAAATCATTTCTGGATAACAACTAAGTACCTTAGTGTGATTGTTTTCAATTAAAATGGTCTAAAATAAACAAAAAAAGCTTCTTAGCAAAGAGCCATTTTTCAAGTAAGAATTTAGCTAGAACTGTCTGGGAGTGGTCTGAGTGAGGAGAGGAAAACTGACAACTAGCTATTATTGGCAGAGAGTTTGGGAACTCTTTTTCTTATTGGTCTATTAACAAATTTACCACCTGGTGATGTCACCAGGCAGGCCAATACGCCATCCCACCAAAACAGGCTGAAATTTCAGCCATCCTTTTCAAACAGCTCTTACACTAAGTGCATCAGGATCCAAATCACTAAGCACTTAAAATGATCCACTCACACGCGTGAAGAAGGCACGACAGCGCCTCTTCCCCCTCAGGAGGTTGAAAATGTTTGGGCCCTCAAATCCTCAAAAAGTTATACAGCTGCACCATTGAGAGCATCTTGACTGGCTGCATCACTGCTTGGTATGGCAACAGCAACACCCTCGATTGCATGGCACTACAGAGGGTGGTGCGGACAGCCCAGTACATCACTGGGGCCAAGCTCCCTGCCATTCAGGAGCGCTATATCAGGCCTGGAAAATCGTTAAAGACTTCAGCCACCCAAGCCATAGACTGTTCTCTCTGCTTCTGCACGGCAAGCAGTTCCAATACATGAAGTCTGACACCAACAGGCTCCTGAACAGCTTCATTCCCCAGGCAATGTCGGACCAGGCAATGTTTTTCCACTCCTCAATTGTCCAGTGTTGGTGATTGCGTGCCCACTGGAGCCACTTCTTCTTGTTTTTAGCTGATAGGAGTGGAACCCGGTGTGGTTGTCCGTTACAATAGCCCATCCGTGACAAGGATCGACGAGTTGTGTGTTCCGAGATACCGTTCTGCACACCATTGTTGTACTGCACCATTATTTGTCTGTTTGTGGTCCGCCTGTTAGTTTGCACAATTCTTGCCATTCTCCTTCGACCTCTCTCATCAACAAGATGTTTTAGCCTACAGGACTGCCACTGACTGGATGTTTTTTGTTTGTCGCAACATTCTCGGGAAACCCTAGACATTGTCGTGCGTGAAAAGCCCAGGAGGGTGGACATTTCTGAGATACTGGATACGGCATGCCTGCCTGGCACCAACAATCATACCACACTCAAAGTCACTTAGGTCACTCATTTTGCCCATTCTAACATTCAATCGAACAGTAACTGAATGCCTCGATGCCTGTCTGCTTGCTTTATATAGCAAGCCACAGCCACGTGACTCACTGTCTGTAGGAGAGATCCATTTTCGTGAACGGGGCGGTGTACCTAATAAACTGTCTGGTGAGCGTATATAAAACAGAGGATCTTTAAGTGTAAAAACCTACCAATGGCCTTGGCTCATGTGAGTTCAGACTTCCCCATTCTGGTAGAAGTATGTCAATTCGGAGAGACTATAGGCTACAGAGAAAGTGTAATGACATAAGTTACCTTTCGAATGATATATCCAAATACATTCAAATAATATATAGGTGACATACATGTAAACTTCAGTGGAGGCTGGTGGGAGGAGCTATAGGAGGGCGGATTTATTGTAATGGCTGGAATGGAATTAATGGAACAGTATCAAACACATCAAACATATGGAAAGCACATATTTGACTCCGTTCCATTTATTCCATTCCAGCCATTACAATGAGCCCGTCCTCCTATAGTTCCTCCCACCAGCCTCTGGGAAACTTAAACATGTGGTCATAGTCTTCCTTACAGTAGGTTGGTAGGGGTTAATGGTCAGGTGGGCTGGAACGGCACATGCTTTGGACTTGTGGGACCTGAAACAGATACTGCTATTTGGAATCCTTGGGACGTCCATACTCTAAACCCTAACCATAACCCTTACCATTTGAAATGTCAACTTCAATGGGGTAGGGGACGTCCCAAGGATCCCGCATAGAAAATACCGACGTGAAACTGTTGCAAAAGTGGGGCATAGCCAATATGCAAATCTTTACGAATCGCCGACGTTGTTTGGACAAGAGGGGGGTACCTCGGCGTGACGCAAGTCACAGTTGGCTATAAATTCAGTGACCCGCGATTCTTTATCAATAAAATAGTAAAAGATAGCAAGCTGTGCTCTGTCAGAACACCAGAGAAAGGAGAAAAGACCAACACTTGAACTACTCTCTACAGAGTATTATTTTTATTATTGTTATTCACTGTGTTTTGCTGTGAGTGTCACTTCAACTGGGACTTGGAGCAGAAGTCTCAAGAACACGACTCAAAATGAAATATGTTATAGGAATTGGCGGGTAAGTTGTAATTTGCCGTTCAAAAATTGACATGTATTAGTTTATTATATAACACGTATATTTTGCTTAGTAAAACATTTATAACCTCATTAGTTGATACACATAACACCGGCGATGCCAAAACAATACATACCATGTGTTTAGCTAACTAACTTAGCTAGTTGGCTACTGTCAAAGTTTAATTTCTTGCAGGAATAAATAAAAAAAAATTGCTCGAGAATCCAGACAAGGCTAATTTAATTACGGCATTTAGCTAGTTAACCGTTTTGTAGCAAATCGCCTGACATATTCGTTTGTTGTCGTCGTCAGGCGGGAGATTTAAAATTCCAGCGCGGACTTTCACATAAAACAATGTTATAACAATCTTTGGCCATACTGTAGCTACATACGATAGCTAGCCACACCTTTTTGATGGCAACTAGTATTGTAAATGTAAAAAAAAAAAAAAAAAAAAGATTGATAGCTTTGTTTTTCTATAATCTAGCTAACATTTTACATGGCTGGTTATCAGGTAAACTAATGTCAACTAGCTAGAACTGGCAACATTTTGAGTTGTTTTCTCAGCTAACCTCTGACTAAATTCAAAGATGCAGTTAGCTAACTACCTAGTTAAACGACATAGCTAGCTAAACTCATGAAATATTTTATATTTGATTGCTATTCAGAGTAGTTAACATAAACTGGCTAGCTACCGAACGCTATTTTAGCTAGCTAGTTAACGATGTAATCAATTTGCCGCCACAATGGCTAGGTTACAATGTAGCTAGCTAGCTAGTTAATAACGGCTGTATTTAGGGTGCGTTCGTAAATTCACTCTGGCTATCTACTCGGATTTCAGAGCACTCTCGTCTGAGTGTGCCAGAGCGCAGAATAACTGATGAATGTACGAACGCTCAACCCCGGTTGAATATGCCGGTGTCAGTAAACGTTGGCAGTAAAGCGTAATTAAATTGTTGCCAGCAGCACAGTTAGTCACCAACGCGCAGGATAACATGAAAACAGCCTAACCAGCTCTGCTAGGGCGAGTAAATGGTTAGAGTGAGGCGTTCTCTCATTTGTAACTGGAAGTAGCTAACAAGCTAGCCAACGTTAGCCAGTTAGCCTGGATGCTTGACTGAGGTTGTGAGGTCAGAACGCGCGGATCAACTACTCCTCGACCAGAGCGTCCAGTGTGCGCTCTGAACGCTCCTAGAGCGAAACGCTCTGAATTTACAAACGGACAATCTGATTTGATTTGATTTGAACTCTCTGACTTCATGAAATCAAATTTGATGTTGATCTATTTTCAGTGTGACCAATGGTGGGAAAACCACTTTGACAAATAGGCTGATGAAGTCATTGCCTAACTGTTGTGTGGTGCATCAAGATGACTTTTTCAAGGTAACCTTTGCCCTCTGCTACAACATAGCTTTGTGGCAATCCCTTTTCGTTGCATGACCTTGCCAGGGGAAGGGCTGCTACATTAGGTCCTGACTTTCCCTGTTTTAGCAAATGTCCAAAACTCATAACATTAACCATGATGCATGCCATTGTTGATTCTCTATGCTCTTCTGCATGTTATTATCCCTGCATGCTTCAGCTATGTGTGACTGGCTTGAAGTGTTCAGCATGTAATGGGATCTGCATGTATACAGATCACCCTGCTGTTGCAGCAATGTTTTATTGGTGACTGTTATTTCAGAAACCTGATCATATAGAAGTCGGGGAGGACGGCTTTAGACAGTGGGATGGTAAGCCTGGATTTCACTGTAGGAGAGTAACTGATCATCCAATGTATTTGGCCCTCAGTGTTACAAAGCATCACTCAAAATGACATTTGATAGTACATACAATATTAATACTGCCCCAAGACTACAATCCCCATTATTCAAGACTGAATAAATTGTCTCCTTCTAAATATCCCTTCTAAACTTTGCTTTCCTTTCTGCCTTTCTATGTTCTGTGCAGTGATCACAGCATTGGACATGGATGCCATGGTGAATACAATACGAGGATGGGCTGAGAACCCAGTGAAGTTTGCCCGCTCCCACGGTGTCAACGTGTCCCCTGCCACGGAGGTGGCTGACCCAGAGCAACCGATCCACATTCTGATCGTGGAGGGCTTCCTTCTGTACAACTACAAGTAAGTTCACCTACACCACTGCTAACTGGAAATGTACTAGCTAACATGTCTTTTTAAAAGGGGGAAAAGTCATCTGATGGTTTGGTTTACATTGCGTAATAATAATTTAGTTAATTGCATTTCAAAGGGCGTGCAAATTTTAGTTGTCATGGTTAAAACTGTCAAGATTAGATTCTGAGAATTGTATGAAAACAAATATTTGGGGCTGTGTTAGCAGCTAGCTAGAGCTTGCTTTGCTCACTAGTACACATTAAGCGCTATGCTGGTCCTGCAATGCTGGAGATAAGAGAAAATGTCAACTAAATGAGGCACTCCTTGCTGTTGGATGATGTGTTCTCCAGAAGTGTGGTATCTGCATTAAGGGGCTGCAGAATTACAAGTGACCTTGTTCTGACACCCCCCCCCCCCCCCCCCCCCAGGTCCCTGATGGATGTGTACAACAAGTGCTACTACATCTCCATTCCATACGAAGAGTGCAAAAGGAGGAGAAGGTGTGAATGGGGAGATCTCAGATCCCTAACATTCATATGTAGCTATAGTATGGTTGTTCTGGCTGAAAAAATCTCATTTTTTTTTATTGAATATGTTGCTAAATTCATAATTTTGTTTCCTTTTTTAGTACAAGACAATACACTGTCCCCGACCCTCCTGGGCTGTTTGATGGCCATGTGTGGCCCATGTACTTGAAGCACAGGAAAGAGATGGTGGAAAGCTGTTTGGACATCGGTGTGTGTGTATATATATATTTTTTTGTTACTTTTTCTATTTGTCAATAAGCATTCTTGAATATCTGCTGTGCAGTTAGTTTTGTAGCCATTTTAGTGGTGCTAGCTAGTACAGTGCCTTGCAAAAGTATTCATCCCCCTTGGCGATATTCCTATTTTGTTGCATTACAACCTGTAATTTAAATAGATTTTTATTTGGATTTCATGTAATGGACATACATAAAATAGTTCAAATTGGTGAAGTGAAATGAAAAAAATAACTTGTTAAGAAAAAAAATCTACAAAATAAATAACGGAAAAGTGGTGCGTGCATATGTATTCACCCCCTTTGCTATGAAGCCCCTAAATAAGATCTGGTGCAACCAATTACCTTCAGAAGTCACATAATTAGTTAAAGTCCACCTAAGTGTCACATGATCTGTCACATGATATCAGTATATATACACCTATTCTGAAAGGCCCCAGAGTCTGCAACACCACTAAGCAAGGGGCACCATGGGGTGGCAGGTAGCTTAGTGGTTAGGAGCGTTGTGCTAGTAACCGAAAGGTCGCTGCTTCTAATCCCCGAGCCCACTAGGTGAAAAATCTGTCGATGTGCCCTTGAGCAAGGCACTTAACCCTAATTGCTCCTGTAAGTCGCTCTGGATAAGAACGTCTGCTAAATGACAAAAACATTTTTTTTTAAAAGAAGACCAAGGAGCTCTCCAAACAGGTCAGGGACAAAGTTGTGGAGAAGTACAGATCAGGGTTGGGTTATAAAAAAATATCTGAAACTTTGAACATCCCGCGGAGCACCATTAAATCCATTATTAAAAAATGGAAAGAATATGGCACCACAACAAGAGAGGGTCGCCCACCAAAACTCATGGACCAGGCAAGGAGGGCATTAATCAGAGAGGGAACAAAGAGACCAAAGATAACCCTGAAGGAGCTGCAAAGCTCCACAGCGGAGATTGGAGTATCTGTCCGTAGGACCACTTTAAGCCGTACACTCCACAGAGCTGGGTTTTACGGAAGAGTGGCCATCCCCACAATGAAGCATGGTGGTTGCAGCATCATGCTGCGGGGATGTTTTTCATCGGCACGGACTGGGAAACTAGTCAGAATTGAATGATGGATGGCGCTAAATACAGGGAAATTCTTAAGGGAAACCTGTTTAAGTCTTCCAGAGATTTGAGACTGGGACGGAGGTTCACCTTCCAGCAGGACAATGACCCTAAGCATACTGCTAAAGCAACACTCGAGTGGTTTAAGGGGAAACATTTAAATGTCTTGGAATGGCCTAGTCAAAGCCCAGACCTCAATCCAATTGAGAATCTGTGGTATGACTTAAAGATTGCTGTACACCAGCGGAACCCATCCAACTTGAAGGCGCTGGAGCAGTTTTGCCTTGAAGAATGGTCAAAAATCCCAGTGGCTAGATGTGCCAAGCTTATAGAGACATACCCCAAGAGACTTGCAGCTGTAATTGCTGCAAAAGGTAGCTCTACAAAGTATTGGCTTTGGGGGTGGGGGGGTGAATAGTTATGCACGCTCAAGTTTTCTGTTTTTTTGTCTTATTTCTTGTTTGTTTCACACACAAAAATATTTTGCATCTTCAAAGCGGTAGTAGGCATGTTGTGTAAATCAAATGATACAACCCCCCCCCCCCAAAAAAAATCCATTTTAATTCCAGGTTGTAAGGCAACAAAATAGGAAAATGCCAAGGGGGGTGAATACATTCGCAAGCCACTGTAGCTATCTCTTCTCTTTGGCAAATGTCCTGATCAGTGTTTACATTTGTCTACAGCGTATTTGGATGGGTTGAAATCTAAAAGAGATCTACAGCCAGGTCTATGAGGACATCCAGAATACACTGTTGAATCGTTTATAGGTAAGCGGTGACACTGGTTTGTCTTAGCCAATGTCCCCTAACAGTGTTGACGTTAAATTGAGTGTGGTTATCTAACATGACCTTTCTTTTTGTACTTTACAGCAGGAACTGAATCTCCAAACCTGTATAGACCTGTAAATAGCACCAAGACTGAAGACTCGTCTTTTTCATTTTGTATTTAAGTTTTTTTCTCATTCTATTCCTTGTTGTAAATAGTATTTGGAAAATGTACTTGCCAAACTCTTTAATCTCCAATTAAATTGGGTTGTCACTATTCCAAGTGACGTTTTAATGTTATTCCTGTGTCCTGTCTTTATTTACAATTCTAAAATTAAGTGTTTTCCTTATCAATCTAAACACAATACCCCATAATGACAGTTTGTTAAATAATTTTTTACTAATTTATTAAAATAACAAAACTGAAATATCACATTTACAGGATGCACCTGAGCTCAGTTTCGAGTCTCTTAGCAAAGGGTCTGAATACTTATGTAAATAAGGTATTTCTGCTGAGGAATTTATTTTATTTAATCAATTTTAGAATAAGGCTGTAACGTAACAAAATGTGGAAAAAGTCATACAGCGCCTTCGGAAAGTATTCAGACCACTTCCCCTTTTCCACATTTTGTTACGTTACAGCCTTATTTCTAAAATGGATTAAATAAATACAAATCCTCAGCAATCTACACACAATACCCCCTAATAACAAAGCGAAAACAGGTTTTTAGAAAATTTTGCACATTTATAAAAATACAAAAATACCTTGTTTACAGTGGGGGAAAAAAGTATTTAGTCAGCCACCAATTGTGCAAGTTCTCCCACTTAAAAAGATGAGAGAGGCCTGTAATTTTCATCATAGGTACACGTCAACTATGACAGACAAAATGAGAATTTATTTTCTCCAGAAAATCACATTGTAGGATTTTTAATGAATTTATTTGCAAATTATGGTGGAAAATACGTATTTGGTCACCTACAAACAAGCAAGATTTCTGGCTCTCACAGACCGGTAACTTCTTCTTTAAGAGGCTCCTCTGTCCTCCACTCGTTACCTGTATTAATGGCACCTGTTTGAACTTGTTATCAGTATAAAAGACACCTGTCCACAACCTCAAACAGTCACACTCCAAACTCCACTATGGCCAAGACCAAAGAGCTGTCAAAGGACACCAGAAACAAAATTGTAGACCTGCACCAGGCTGGGAAGACTGAATCTGCAATAGGTAAGCAGCTTGGTTTGAAGAAATCAACTGTGGGAGCAATTATTAGGAAATGGAAGACATACAAGACCACTGATAATCTCCCTCGATCTGGGGCTCCACGCAAGATCTCACCCCGTGGGGTCAAAATGATCACATGAACGGTGAGCAAAAATCCCAGAACCACACGGGGGGACCTAGTGAATGACCTGCAGAGAGCTGGGACCAAAGTAACAAAGCCTACCATCAGTAACACACTACGCCGCCAGGGACTCAAATCCTGCAGTGCCAGACGTGTCCCCCTGCTTAAGCCAGTACATGTCCAGGCCCGTCTGAAGTTTGCTAGAGTGCATTCCTCCAGAAGAGGATTGGGAGAATGTCATATGGTCAGATGAAACCAAAATAGAACTTTTTTGGTAAAAACTCAACTCGTCGTGTTTGGAGGACAAAGAATGCTGAGTTGCATCCAAAGAACACCATACCTACTGTGAAGCATGGGGGTGGAAACATCATGCTTTGGGGCTGTTTTTCTGCAAAGGGACCAGGACGACTGATCCGTGTAAAGGAAAGAATGAATGGGGCCATATATCGTGAGATTTTGAGTGAAAACCTCCTTCCATCAGCAAGGGCATTGAAGATTAAACGTGGCTGGGTCTTTCAGCATGACAATGATCCCAAACACACCGCCCGGGCAACGAAGGAGTGGCTTCGTAAGAAGCATTTCAAGGTCCTGGAGTGGCCTAGCCAGTCTCCAGATCTCAACCCCATAGAAAATCTTTGGAGGGAGTTGAAAGTCCATGTTGCCCAGCGACAGCCCCAAAACATCACTGCTCTAGAGGAGATCTGCATGGAGGAATGGGCCAAAATACCAGCAACAGTGTGTGAAAACCTTGTGAAGACTTACAGAACACGTTTGACCTGTGTCATTGCCAACAAAGGGTATATAACAAAGTATTGAGAAACTTTTGTTATTGACCAAATATTTATTTTCCACCATAATTTGCAAATAAATTCATTCAAAATTCTACAATGTGATTTTCTGGATTTTCTTTTCTCATTTTGTCTGTCATAGTTGACGTGTACCTATGATGAAAATTACAGGCCTCTCTCATCTTTTTAAGTGGGAGAACTTGCACAATTGGTGGCTGACTAAATACTTTTTTCCCCCACTGTATATGTGTATATAATTATATATATATATACTGTATATCTATCTCAGGAGGTTGGTGGCACCTTAATTGGTGAGGATGGACTCGTGGTAATGGCTTGACTGGAATGTTATCAAACACATGGTTTCTATGTGTTTGATGCTATTCCATTCGCTCTGTTCCAGACGTTATTATGAGCCATCCTCTCCTCCGCAGCCTCCACTGCTAGAGAGATAGATAGAAAAATTCAAGCCAGTCAGTGTACATTCACAAATATCCCCTCTGTCCTTCTAGGGTTGATACTTTACAATGATACAACGCATTGCACCTTTCACTGCATCTGAGCTCATTGTCTTGACCCTGCAATTTAGAAAATGGAAAATGATACCTATGGACTAGTTTCAGGGCTTGAGCCAATTTGTAGAAAGGAAAGGCCATGTGAAACAACTATCTAGCCATGTTACATGTCAACATTATTGCTATGGAATGGTTTCAAGTGTGGGTTAGACTAAACATGAGATTTCACAACATTTTCCACATTTATATATAGGTCATTATAATGTATAATTTCTATAGGGAATACCTACAGTATAGTCCATATGAACCCCATATGCACATAATACAATTAGGCTTGCGTACGTGCATAAAGTATTGAGCCCTTTTACACTTGGCCAAGGGAAAAAAACAACAGTATGAGATTGTACGCTGATTTTAGGGTTCAAGTGGAAGTTAAAACGCAGTAAATTTGTATTAGCCGTATGTACGGGGTATACACTGTCAAACAAAATGCTTACAAAGGTCCTTTGTTTGCCTTGTATTGTTTTTCACACCGTTAGATTCACTAGATAGGCCTACAGTATATAATGACCCAGAGCCCTATATTTAGAGGGTTAGGACATTGAGGTGTCTGCGTTGTGATGCATTTACATGACATGGAAGCCATGTTAGCTCCCCATGGGCAATATTGACCAATAGCAATTAAAATAATTTTTAGAATTTTAAACTGCTATGTACAAGATTCCAAATTCTCGTCATGAATGGATAAATGGAATGCTCAAAGGTGCTAACATGGCATCCATTTTAAAAGATGGCCCAACTTTAAATAATGGCTCTGGTATGACCTTATTGCTGTTCTAATCAAATGTGCATGTTGGTGCGGCTGTCCCCATGGAATGATGCTCAGCTGTAATATTGGGACAAGAGCTGCGGAGCCTTAAAGCTCCGCATTGACATGATAGGTTGACAGTAGGTTGGGGCAGGAGGTCCTCCGTGAAGGGCAAGAAGTATGAATGCCCTGACTTCTGCAGAGGCCATTTCACCATAAATGCTACACGGCCAATGCGGATATCGGATTGACCATGCAGCGCCGTTAAGTAGGTGAAACTTGACGTGTTGGCAGGCAACTTGTATAACCCCAGTTTACTTCTCAAACTTAGTGTGTTCATGTTATGGATTTGGGGAAAGGTTTTGGCATGATGATCAGCCAACTCATCTCCCTGTCTTTGAGGCCAATGTGTATGTCGTGTTTCTATCCTCTTAATAGTATTGTAATAAATGCCAGTTTTGGGTGCTTGTTGGTGGGGCCTGACCATTTCCCTGGCATAAGCATAGGAACCTGTGGATTTGTGTTGTCCTATGTCCCCTATATCAATACGTGCCAAGTGTCTTGCAGCAGTGTTGTTGTGTAACCTGGAGATCATGGCGTGAGGACGTGATGGCAGTGACAGGTGTCATTGTGTGAACTGGACTCTCAACACCAACATGGACCCTGCTAAGATCTTGACCCGATCTCATGGAAATATACTTTTTATTTATTTTATTTCACCTTTATTTAACCAGGTAAGCCAGTTGAGAACAAGTTCTCATTTACAACTGCGACCTGGCCAAGATAAAGCAAAGCAGTGCGATAAAAACAACAACACAGAGTTACATATGGGGTAAAAAAAACATAAAGTCAAAAAATACAACAGAAAATATATATACAGTGTGTGCAAATGTAGCATATGTCCATGGTACATAAGCCAGCTTTAATCATCAGCTTTTCCACACATTTGCACACACACACATCCTACAGTAACAGTGCTTGACTTATTCAAAGCTGCTTTACAGTAAGGTCTATATTGAATCTTAACCTAAGCAAAAACAAATCCTGTCTAGACATTTTCCTGGAGGAACTTTTCAGAGGGAAAAGTGTATAAACTCTGTTGTACATCCATCACTCTATGCATGCCTAAATAGCATCTACAGTACACGACATTCTGTATTAAATCAAGGGGAAACTGCATGCCAATAGCTTGTGGTGTAATGTTTGGCATATGGTTAGGCTATTGAAGCAACAACACAGACATAGTTGTAAGGGTTTAGTAATGTCACTGCATGACCATAGTCTGATCATTATTTAAAACTACAGAGCTTGACAACAATTATAACAGTTATTGCTATTATACCACAATGAAGTACCCAAAAACTGCACCTTGTTTGAAATAAATACAAATGTCTGATTACAGATGACAAGGGGAGCTGTTTACACAGAATATTGTCTGGTTTAATAATTTGTTTAATTTATGGTAACACTTTACAACACGTAATAAAGTGGTAATAACATGGTAATAGTATGATTTCTTATAGCAACTACTCACATCTAATAAAGTGACATTCCTGAGTTCTACCTGCTATGTTACCTGTAACCTGTGCCCTATTGAGGCCCATAACCTTAAATAAAACCTGTTGACAGGGGGAAGGGCTGTGAGCGTAGTAACCACCCGTTGACACGCATCCAGTTGCAGCCAGCTAACCCTGTAATGGTTGCCCTCTGGAAGACATACACATTGCTGAAAGGCTCTGAGTGTCTGTGGACATAGGCGGGCTATGTGTTTATATTTAGCTGGGATTCATGCAATGTCAGGGGAGGAGATATATTACTTTTATAAAGATGGACACCCCCACACTCTATTCCACAGCATGACTGGCCTGTTGCCCATAGCTACCCTCCTGACTGACAGGCAGCTCCCTACCCTGCCTCTCGTCCAGCCACAATGCATCAGAGGAGGACGAAGCAGGGGAAAGGTGAGGCTCTTATAAAGCCACTTTACACCCTCTCAATCAAGTATATAATGAGTGGAAACAATTACGCACAATAATCCACCTGCCTTTCCATGGAAACCTATGGTATGGTAACCTGTCCCTACCCTCTGTCACCTTGCACAACATATAAACGGTAATGATATATGAGTTGCATTGGCACTGAGCTGAGCTGTTTAATGAATGGTATCACACAGAAGTGGTCATGGAGTCATTGCAAGCACATGTGCAATAGCTTACATAATCATCTTGCTATTCATCTTGCAATTCATAGCACACAGGCATTCTTACTGTATTTTACTGTACTGTATACTACCATGGGACAGGGCCAATTAGCGCTCTTCACTTGCAGACTATTCTAAGAATTCTGCACTGCAACAGATCTGACGTGAAGGCTTCATGTAACAGATCTCTGAGGCAGGAAAAGTTCAGGCTGTTTGACAGCATCCAAGACTTCCATAGTGATATACACTATCCCGTGGCTTGTGAAAGTATTCACCCCCTTTGGCATTTTTCATTTTTTGTTGCCTTACAACCTGGAATTTAAATGGATTTTTGGGGGGTTTGTATCATTTGATTTACACAACATGCCTACCACTTTGAAGATGCAAAAACTGCTCCAGCTCCTTCAAGTTGGATGGGTTCCGCTGGTGTACAGCAATCTTTAAATCATACCACAGATTCTCAATTGGATTGAGGTCTGGGCTTTGACTAGGCCATTCCAAGACATTTAAAGGTTTACCCTTAAACCACTCAAGTGTTGCTTTAGCAGTATGCTTAGGGTCATTGTCCTGCTGGAAGTTTCATCAAACCAAGATAAAATTGTTTCTCATTGTCTGAGAGTCATTTGGCAAACTCCAAGTGGGCTGTTATGTGCCTTTTACTGAGTTGTGGCTTCCGTCTGGCCACTCTAAAGGCCTGATTTGTGGAGTGCTGTAGAGATGGTTGTGCTTCTGGAAGGTTCTCCCATCTCCACAGAGGAACTCTGGAGCTCTGTCAGAGTGACCATCGGGTTCTTGGTCACCTCCCTGACCAAGGCCCTTCTCCCCCGATTGCTCAGTTTAGCCGGGCGGCCAGCTCCAGGAAGAGTCTTGGTGGTTCCAAACTTCTTCTATTTAAGAATGGCCACTGTGTTCTTGGGGACCTTCAATGCTGCAGACATTTTTTGGTACCCTTCCCCAGATCTGTGCCTCGACCCAATCCTGTCTCTGAGCTCTAGGGACAATTCCTTCGACCTCATGGCTAAGTTTTTGCTCTGACATGCATTGTCAACTGTGGGACCTTATATAAACAGGTGTGTGCCTTTCCAAATCATGTCCAATCAATTGAATTTACCACAGGTGGACTCCAATCAAGTTGTAGAAACATCTCAAGGAAGATCAATGGAAACAGGATGCACCTGAGCTCAATTTTGAGTCTCATAGCAAAGGGTCTGAATACTTATGTAAATACGTTTTTATTTTATTTTTTATAAACGTGCAAAAATGTCTAAATACATGTTATCGCTTTGTCATTATGGGGTATTGTGTGTAGATTGAGGGGAAAAAATAATTGTATCCATTTTAGAATAAGGCTGTAACGTAACAAAATGTGTAAAAAGTCAAGGGGTCTGAATACTTTCCGTATGCACTGTATGTATTACAAATACCTGGTTTGACCTGAAGGCATAGGCCTATGTAGGCCTACTTTTTATCTAGTGTGCCAATAAAAAACATTTGTTTTACGTGTTTAAATGTTTTTGATAGACCACAAAATGTAATTTATTTCATTACTTACTATTTTATTTCGCATTCAACTCGAGGTAAAATAACTGGTGTCCAGTTGAACAACGTGATCCGTTGCTTTTATACAACTTTTCAAAGGGCGTTCCGATACTATAGTCCAGATTTTTTCAGTAAAATATATCCCACTGTCACAACTGTACCGCAGCCTTATTTAAAACGACACTGGGGTAGACTTAACGACAGATCATATGGCAGGCATTGTGTAGTTTTCCTTAACCAGGTCAGGTGCCCTGCGTTTTTTGAACTCAGTAAATACTTCCCCTAGAGGTCCACTGCCATCAGGTGGCAAGCAGGTTTTGTGGAGACGTGCAGTAATCGAGGGACCAGAGTGGAGAGTCATAGAGAAACAGAACTCGATAACCCCTATTCTTATCCCTCAGCTGCATGGTACTGTATTTCTGAGAGGTGGTGTGAGGTAACACAAGGCCCGCCCCACTGTGTGCTATTCCAGTGTGGCATTTACCATTAAAATAAACAGTGTGAATGGATCTCAAAGAGCCATGCAGCGGCAGCGCGCGCCACCTGCCTGTGTGCTTATTTTCATGATGCAAATAGCTCCTACTATAACACACATGTTCTATTCCCATATTATGAAGGTTTCAATTTAATCCACTTATAAAATGTATTGCTTATGATGACTATCAGTCAGTTGTTGTGACAGAAGTTCCCAATTAATGCCAAAAGGTCCGTGCGTCATATGCACAATTATTGACCAAAATGTTGGATGACTAATCAGGGACACATTTTTTACTAAAACCACTTTTATTTGAGATATCTTGCATTTTCAGCAACAAATCTCAACGTGCTCTGAGAAAGGGCTACCGCCTATGCGGAAAATGTACTTATAGGCCTACTGAACAAATAGCCTAGTTGTATAGCACGCCCGATATAGTGACGAAACTATTAAGTTAAACACCGTGTCTGTAAAAACAAGCCTTTGCTCCTCTCTGTGCATGCGTAGACAAACTAATTCTATGAAAGTGAGTGCCTACATTTCCACTCTCCAAGTAGTTCACCTGACTTTCACTATGGAGATGTGGTGCGCAACTCCATGACCGAATCAAGAGTGTGTACAAAACATCACCCGTATCCCAGCATCATTTAGATTACATTTTTACAGAAGTGTCAAATTTACGCAGTTAATGTTACAGTGTTTTGTGTTGTTCAGATCATTTTTGCCATGGAGAGGTTTTCTTTTCTACTTTTCTGCCTGCTTTATGTTCTGGTTCGTTTAAGCACTGGACAGCACCATTTACGCGCGCCTATGGGGCCATGGAGACAGAGAATCCAATGGGAGAACAACGGTCGGATGTATAGTTTACTCAGCACGGGGTCTGAATATCACGCATCGGCACAGGCGAGGAGAGTACCTACTCAGCTCTATCTGACTACCAGGAATGATTTCAACATACGTCACCCACCTTCTGCGCCAAATAGATCCTCTAGAACTAGAGCATTGGATCTGGAGGATGCTCCGAGAGCATTCGATGGAAACCCAGCATATTCTGAACGCACTGCGGACAGTGAGTCAGAAGCCTCGGTTATGGGCTCCGATGTTGGTCACTACATCCTCGCCACTAGGCGCCACAGCACGAGCGCAACGAGGGACACGGTTCCGGTGGCGGGATACCCAGGAGCGCGTCCCCCTCCCCAAGGAGGCACTGGCTACACTTCCAACGGTACCGGTCCCGGGGCTCTCCAGGAGTTCTCAGGCAGTGGGATCCCGAGGGGAGGACGAAACCCTACTCGGGATGATGTCAGCCTGCCGGTTCGTCGACAGGTCTCTGTGTCACCGGTTAGGAGCGAAGAGAATACGCATGGTCGCGGCACTAGCCAGGCGCGACATGAGAGCCCAGAAGCATCAACCCACCCACCCACATCTGGCTACGTGAATAATGCCGAGGATGCAGGCAACAGACAACGCGCCCAGCGCACTGCCCAAGCGGCGGATTCCATTCCCTCATCCAGACGCATTCCAGCTCCAGAATCAAATGCATCTCCAACTGCGCTGAGTGTGCTTTCTAACAATGGCGTGGAGGCGCACATCACTCGCTCGCAGCCCCAGCAACCAAGGACGGTTGAAAGTAATAATATGATAGGTGATGATGGTGGTGATCCCACGGACCCAAATAAAAACCACCAAAATTCTGTTTTTTATAACATATACCCGTCAGGCGGAAGAACCAGAGAACCTGTGCGTCTTCCACCAGGAACAGGCTATGGCACCAGATTATTTCATAACGGTAAGGTAGACATTGATGTGAGAATTAGGCTAGCTATCTATATCTTATAGAGTAGGGTGTTCTATTTTACCCAGGGCCATTTGCTTTGCATTATGCAGACATATTTTTACATCCAGATAAAAGTACAGAGTATTACAAACGATTCATACAACTCTTCAGACCCTCTTGTTTATAAAAATACAAATGTGGTAGGTTACAACAACCCTCACACACCCTTGTAAATCATACAACTAACACGGATGGATTGTGATTCCTCTTCCCCAGGTCTCCCAGACCTTGTTCCTGACCCCTACTATATCCAAACTGCTTCTTATATCCAACGAGTACAGATGTATGCCCTGAGATGTGCAGGAGAGGAAAACTGTCTGTCACGGTAGGAGTTCATGTTTTATTATTGATTATGCATATCAATGTGTAAGAGCAATAGCACAAAAACATTTATCTTGACATCATCAATGTATTATAACACTAATTAATCATATTTGACATGTACAGTCATTTGTTTGATTAGAGGTAGACATCAGACAGGATGTGTCGACCAGACTTCCTTGGCACTGGCCCATTTGGGAGTAACAGTATAGTGACAGCACCATACAACCTGGCAGCCGACCTCGATTTTTCCGTCTGTCTCTCTGCTCTGCCAAGTAAAATAAACTTCAAATGAACGGCTGTGGATTCCTGAGGTGAATGTTAAACTATTCCAAATACACCTCAAGCCTCCTCCTCAGTGTCTTCTAAAGTATAATACGTGAACTGTTACTCAATTGTTATTAAGTTGTTATTAAGCTGTCATTAATGATCATTCAAATGACGGTCCATGCACTTATCCGTTATAATTGGGGCCAGGAGTTTTTTCTGACCAAGAAAGCTATGGTCAGGTGACATTGTCAGGAAAAACTCCTGACCCCAGTCATTATGTACAGTCTATTATTTGTATTTGTAATTTCTCTCCCCCAAGGTCAGCGTATCGACCAGGTGTCAGAGACATCGACTACAGGACTCTGCTGAGGTTTCCCCAGAGGGTGAAGAACCAGGGGACAGCTGACTTCCTCCCAGTCAAACCCAGACACCAATGGGAATGGCACAGCTGCCACCAGCACTACCACAGCATGGAGGCCTTCAGTAACTATGACCTGCTGGATGTCATCACAGGCAGGAAGGTGGCAGAGGGACACAAGGCCAGCTTCTGTCTGGAGGACACCAGCTGTGACCTGGGAGTCCGCCGACGCTTCGCCTGCACAGCACACACACAGGTTCTGATAGTTTAATTGATCAATCGATCAACCAATTTAGTTTGTTATATGTTTTTAATCACATGTTTGGTACAGGGATTGGGTCCTGGTTGCTATGACACCTACAATGCCAACATTGACTGCCAGTGGATTGACATCACGGACGTGCCACCGGGAAACTATATTCTCAAGGTAACATTATAGCCAGTTTAATGAAGAGACAGATATACAGTGAGCTCCAAAAGTATTGGGACAGTATTGGCTCTGTACTCCAGCACTTTGGTTGTGAAACGATACAATGACTACGAGGTTAAAGTGCAGACTGTCAGCTTTAATTTTAGGGTATTTTCATACATATCGGGTGAACCGTTTAGAAATTACAGCACTTTTTGTGCATATTCCCCCCATTTTAGGGGACCAAAAGTATTGGGAGAAATCTACTTATATGTATAGTAAAGTAGTCAAACATTTATTATTCGGATAGTCCTGAATGAATCTTGAATAATGATGAGTGAGAAAGTTACAGACGCACAAATATCATACCCCCAAGACATGCTAACCTCTCACCATTACAATAACAGGGGAGGTAAGCATTTCTTGGGGGGTATGATATTTGTGCGTCATTATTCAAAATTCATTCAGGATTATCCGTAATCATGGTAGCATCCACATTAATGTAGAAGTGTTTAGAAACATATTCTATTCTTATTTACAATAAAAGTGACTCCAAAATGACACAATACATTTTTTAACATTCATTTCCATTGGGCACAAAATAATCTGAAATACAACCAAAACAAACAGAAAATGCATCCAACAAGTTTGTAGAGTTACAAGCTTGATGTAATCATTACGAGCTAGATATATGGGACCAAATACTAAACTTTTGACTACTTTAAATGGGGGGACTACATACAAAAAGTGCTGTAATTTCTAAACGGTTCACCCGAAATGGATGAAAATACCCTTAAATTAAAGCTGACAGTCTGCACTGTAAGCTCATAGTCATTGTATTATTGCAAATCTAAAGTGCTGGAGTACAGAGCCAAAACAACAAAATATATGTGTCACTGTCCCAATACTTTTGGAGCTCACTGTAAACCCGATAGATACAGTTATTTTGCACTGGCATTTTTCAGTTGTCCAAAACGTATTGCAAAACTAGCAACATGTCATTGACCCGTCTTGTCTCATGATGTACGTCAGGTGACGGTAAACCCAACTATGCAAGTGCAGGAGTCAGATTTCTCAAACAACATAGTGAAGTGTGACATCAGGTACACAGGAAACTATGTCCAAGCCAGGAACTGTAGGATCACTGGGTAAGTCACAAAGACTTTCTGTATATAATTGATGTACACATTTCATTTGTGGTACTGTAAAATATGTGTTTGTTTATCATTGGTTTGTGTTGATTCTACAGGAGTTAACCCTAAATTGCTCTGATGAAGGGGGCCATTTTCTGCTACCATACGCCTGCCAATGATAACCAAGCCAAACGAGTAACATGTATGGATTTCTATCAATATTTTTGGTTGAAGTCAGTGTTGACACCTGTCTTTCCTTAAGCACTCTGGCTTTTTGACATCATCCAATGCATATGTTCTTAGGTGTGAGCTGTAATGTACTTAGCTACAGTAAGTATTTAACGAGTTATCCTCTTTGTAATAAAGACATGCTATGTCCTGCATGAGAGCAGTGGTGGTTGTATACAGTATGGCAAAGTTACAGTATTATAATGCTAAGCTAAAATGTATACTATGGTGCTGTGCAAACCTAGACATAACAAACAAGTCTTCGAAAGGCCATGTCCCAAGTTGGCGCTTATTCCAAGAAAGTCAATGGTGCTCTTGTCTCCTTTAGGCCATTTCCATTTTGCTGGAGAATAAATGTATTAAACCAGCCACTGACCATAAAGTTTTACACTCATTGAAATGAGCCACACGTATGTACTGTATTTATGAGATTATATGTATGGATATATGGATTATATGGATAATAGAATGCATGGTATTTACTGTATGATTTCTTAGCATTCTTTTCTAGATTCAAACACTGCTAAATTAGATATAAGAACACCAACTGCTACTGTCAAACAGTGTATATACTGTTTTTAAAAAAAAGAAGGTTATTTTGTAATTAAAATAAGATACTGTATGTTTTTGATCAGTTCTTAGTTTTTTTGAATTTGTCGTTTGCAATCAAGTTTGCCTGAAAATGTTGAGAAAAATATCAAATAAGACTGGAGCCTTATTCCCTTTTAACCATTTCGTCAATGATGGATGAATGTAAATAACCTTCACTGAAAGAGTAATTTGTACAAATATTTTGCACTGTGATGTCATTACGTCTTTCGGTTCCACTTTAAAGTCTGTCCGTTTAACTCAAGCTGAGCTCAAAACCATTTGAGGGCAGAGAGGTTAATTTCTAAAATTATTTAAGTAAACACGGCATGCCTCAGAGAAATGTATGAAATTATCCAATTTAGCACATTGTGTTTCTTGGAAAGGGAAAGAAAAATGAAAGTATTAAGCGTAGAAGCTCCTGTTGCGTGTGTTTCGCCAGGTTCTCCCCCAGTATGTCATTAAAACTGTCTAGAGGACCCACTCCCCTGGTGTCAACTCCATGTCGGGTGTCTAAGTATTCTTGAAATGTGTTTGCATTCAGCCGCAGTGTTAACCAGAGCCTCTGTCTCATTGGTCACATTCAGAAATTGAACAAGTTTAACGAGTTCCGAATACCCTATAATTATTAATGAGTAATTGTAACATGGTAGTGCCTGTTCTTGATTTTATAACTGGGAAACACTGAGCATGAGTTAAATTGAAAGGACTCCAAGTTAAGCACATAGCCTCATTTCCTTGTCATCTTAAACATGCCATGGATTTATAGGAGGCTCCGGTTTGTTCAGCTGGATGGAGCTCATTTATTAAAGGCAAATGGTCTATGGAATGGCTCTGTTGCCACTGCTTAACCTGCTCCATGAAAAGACCTTCTCCATGAAAAACCCTCAACACATCCCCTTTAAGGACTTGACAAGAGGAAATACCTATGCAGTATTTATGATAACCTTCCAAAGGTGTGGAGGTCACGGAGTACATCTAGTATCGCCCCATATCCTCAGTGAAACAGTGAAACGCTCCTTATTTTTATCATTAACCCTATTTTGTAACAAACCATCATTCAAGAAACACACAAATAAGTAGAAGGGTTACTCACTCTGGATGGGTACATAGGGAAACTAACTGTATGCTTGAACTCCGTCTGCAAACCACCAGAGGGATGTTTCTGTCATCTTTCATCCAAAAATGGCCTCTCAGTTGAAGCTCACGCCATCGTTGGTCAAAACAGAGGTGCTGTTGTGAATTGAAGTGTGACAGAATGTCAGAGAGAGAGAGAGAGAGAGAGAGAGAGAGAGAGAGAGAGAGAGAGAGAGCGGTGGTGCCGGTTGTTTGCTCAGGGAGCCCAACGTGCTAAGCCTCAGTAATGGACTACAGTTTAGGGTGCTCCAGCCTGCCCTTTGGGTAATGGCGAGGAGCAGAGAAATTCCACAGCCACAGTGTAATCCAGGAAACAGGCCAGAGAACTGCTGAGATCAGTATCAGGACTGACCCATCCTTCACATACTTTACTGTACACAGCCATCCCAGAGCAGACCAGACCTGGGGGAGGCACTGGTCAAACATACAGTAGTGGTTACAATACTGTCAATGTACAGACAACATCCTCAAAGATAAATAAATAATCAATATTTAGGCTTTGGCTAAATGGGTATACCTATATGATAGGCTTGGGCTTTCAATAGGCTACTACTCGTTGTATCAGTAAGAATATAAAAATAAGAGGATGAATTGCACCTTTTTGTAGAATCTGTAGAAAACATGGAACACTGGGAACTCATGGTGTTTTTAAATGTCATAAATGTCTTATTTGTTTCTTTAGAGTTAGACAGCTGAGTGTCTGATGCTTAAAAAAGAGAAGAGTGTTTACCTGGGCAGAACAAAGGATTCCATGGTCGAACACATTTGCACATCAATATATTTTAACAAGTAGCCTGCTTGAAATAGAAAAATGTGCACTTATTAATGTCCCTGTACTTTTCCTTCAGAGCCCCTGTGCAAATACCAAAAAGTAAATACGCCATCAGGGTCATTCATAGTCACTTTTACCGTGGTGAAATCCTGTTATTCTATTATTTTTGGGCAGGGAAGTGGTGATGGGTGGGGAGACCAGCAGGATGGGTCTGGGGCTGGTGGGGAATGGTGGGGGGTTCTTAAACTGAACTGAAACGAACGATCCTGTTATTTTCTGTTTATATACAGTCCTAAATACTAGTGTTGTTCCACATTTATAGCATACAAATGAGCGTTTGCCAAGAAGTCTCCCATCTGTCTAATACGCTCAATGAAGAGGGCCATAGAGCCAGGTGAGTGCTGCCCTTGTGTCTGGGTCAGACTCTTGCTCTCTCTCAGACATGGCAGGGTAGTGCTGAAGAAGAGAAGACATGCAGGTTTGTTATTGAGCTTGGACAGGAATACACTTGTTTAGATATACCTTAATTGTTAGCTTTTGGAAGCAATAAGAAAGTGTGACTGTTCTTCTACACCCTTGTATTCTTGGAGTTCATTCTGTCACCTCCTATGGCCCTCGCCATTCATCATCACCACATGAAGCACAGACAAAATCACAGTGAAGTATTCCTGAATTAGCAGTGACACAGTTTCAGCCAGTGCACACAAGGAACCTGAAACTGGCTGGCTTTCTATAGAGTGGAGGAGAGGGGCCTGTAGGGGTGAGTGTATGAAAGTCTCAGACAAGACTTAAATAAACAGAGACACTGGCCAGTGCAGATCCAGAAATACATACAGAGTCAACTGCTATACCACTGTTATTTCCTATTACTATAGAACCATAACGTTGAATAGTCTACTTTCACAATACTGGTTTTAACATTTTCTTTACATTAATAATATATATATATTTTTACATTCAAAGTGGTAGAATTATTGCAAAGACAGTTGAACTATTCATAATTGACCTGTGTACTGTGTTTTGGTTTTCAATTTTCTATGACTTGTAAACAATAAAAATAGAATAATGTTTTATCTCAATGAAATCAAATAACAATACACAATCAAGTAATATAGAGGATAAATAACCATAAACAAAAAGGTTCAAACGTATGGGTTCTTCTGTAAATGAACTTCAGAGCTATGAGACAAGAACACAGCCTCAGTATTCTTAGAAAATGGCGCCCTCGTGTGGTGAAAATGAACTGTCGCAGAGATAAGCGTTGGATATTTCGATTTATGCACGGTGAAAAATAACAACAATCAAACTGTTTAACCACATATGTGGTTGTATTTGAAAACATCAGGAGGTTTCGCGTATTTGAGAGCGAAAACTTTTTTTTCAGGAATTCCATCATCACTTGAATTATTTTGAGTTTCCTGTGACGACACTTGGCAGAGCACTCGCACGAATTATCTGTCAGTATCATTCGATAGCAGCAGATCAAAATGGCCCTAAATAACTTGGCATTTTTTGCTTTGTTGGTTGTAACATTAACAGTTACATTGGCCAGTGCCAATGAGCGAACGAAGACTGTGGAATTCAACGTAAAACCCGGTGGAGCGGTGCACACGTTCTCCGAGAAAATGGTAAGCGATATGGAGAAAATGGTAAGCAATATAGCTAGCCACATAATTCAGCTAACAAATAACGTTAGTACTGTACTACTAGGCAGCTAGTGAAGTCATGTATGTTGCATTGTGTACCATTTTTGCTCCGACGAGTTGTTGTAGCAATTAGATAATGTTGTATGTGGCACAAAAATGCATACGAATTGACGTGTTAGCCAGGATGCTAACTAAGTTATTTGCCGGGTATAGTTCCCTGCAAACTATCTTGCGGTTTATTCACATATGGTAGCTAATTCAAATAACAGCCAAGTATATGATGGCACCACTCACAAATTAAATATTATTGAAACACTATGTCGATAAAAAAAAAAAAACATATATATATTTTTTTTAAGTATCTGGTCGTCGCATGATGATGAGGAACCGACCTCTGATATGCTGACACGTCAGTATCAGAGTGCCACAAGGAGGCTATTCATTGGCCTAGAATATATCTACATTTTCCCACAGAGACGCAATCAATGTTGTCTTTATGTTCAATCACAAATATACAATAGTAACATATGCATGTGAAAATCAAATGCCCCTTTGTATTACAAATTGCAGATGTTTGAAATAATAATGAGCTATAAATTGTTTGACTCCCAAACATCCCATTTGACTTCCAAACACTTAGGCCTACAAATAAATAACACAAATGTGTTTTGTCTTTTTTAATGATGTTCATTCCTGGCTCAATTTAATCATGAAGCTACTTTCACAGAGAGAATATGAATGTTCATTCACGTATGCATCACAAGGGGGAACCAACGAGGTAGGTTGTATCCTGATCAAAGTTTAGGTTGTTTCAACCTAATAAATAGGTCATTTTATTCTAGTCTAGAGTTGAAACATATGCTACCTGTGGTAAACTGATTAATAGGTTTCTAGTGTGCAGTTTAAAAGTAAAACTCTGAAGTAGATCAACAGAAAGTACATTTAAACCTTTGTCATACTACTCACATACCTAAAGAATACATCATCAAAATAATAATATTATAATAACATGTTTTCATGTTGTGTTGTTTTAACAGCAATGGCTGATGAGTGTGGGCCTGAGCGATGATGACAGTCTGTTCTCCTGCTCAGTGTGGAGGTACGCTGTAAGCCCTGGTGTGAGGTCACACAGAACAATAGAAGTTAGGCTTCAGATATATCCATGTACACTGAATGACTTATTCATTCAAGTGCCGCCTGGTGGTCATTCACCCGAGATATCTCCGGCCAATCAGTTCCAGTTTTTCATCTTGGCTTTGCCTAGTGAATAACTAATAGCAGAGTCAACAAATGTCAGTAGTGACTTAATCCCTATCTTCATTTTTGTTGATTTTTCTCTTCCTCGTTGTTGACAGACCCCAGGGGAAGTCCTACTTGTTTTTCACACAGTTCAAGGCTGAGCTGAAAGGAGCCAAGATTGAGTATGCCAGTGCATATGTAAGTATCCACCATATACAAATGGGTCATGTAATTTGCTATCCTATCTGCATTTCTACATAATAATGCATTAGAGCAAAATCTTTGCTGACATGTTTTGTGGTGTAAAGTAGATAAGGTATCTGTCCAATATCAGCATATTGTCACTGCAGCATTGACCTGTCTTCTCCTCTGGTCTCCTGGTACAAGTGCACTTCTGTCTGTCTCAGTGATAATGAGCTAGAACTGCACATCCCCATGGAAACATGTCTTCTGCATTTACTGTGTGTACCTACCTACACATTTTTAGACTTCTGTCTGTCTTTATCCTGATTTACTGGCAATCTAAATCAAAGCTAATATAGGGCTTTATATGGGTAGAGATGATAAAATAGATTGTCATGGCAACACACATAGGTATTTGAGAGAACATTATATTGCAGTCAGAGAGTACATTGTTACCATGTTGCATTCAGATCTAACCATCTATTCTTCTCCCAAGAGAATGCTGCCATGTTCAGAGTACAGACAACTATCTCAGACTAGTGTCACATCACATGTACAGTGAGGGACAAAAGTATTTGATCCCCTGCTGATTTTGTACGTTTGCCCACTGACAAAGAAATGATCAGTCTATAATTTTAATGGTAGGTTTATTTGAACAGTGAGAGACAGAATAACAACAAAAAGATCCAGAAAAACGCATGTCAAAAATGTTACTCCAGGACCTTAATGTGCTTCTTCTTGAGCCACTCCTTTGTTGCCTTGGCCGTGTGTTTTTGGTCATTGTCATGCTGGAATACACATCCACGACCCATTTTCAATACCCTGGCTGAGGGAAGGAGGTTCACACCCAATATTTGACGGTACATGGCCCCGTCCATCGTCCCTTTGATGCGGTGAAGTTGTCCTGTCCCCTTAGCAGAAAAACACCCCCAAAGCATAATGTTTCCACCTCCATGTTTGACGGTGGGGATGGTGTTCTTGGGGTCATAGGCAGCATTCCTCCTCCTCCAAACACGGCGAGTTGAGTTGATGCCAAAGAGCTCCATTTTGGTCTCATCTGACCACAACACTTTCACCCAGTTCTCCTCTGAATCATTCAGATGTTCATTGGCAAACGTCAGACGGGCCTGTATATGTGCTTTCTTGAGCAGGGGGACCTTGCGGGCGCTGCAGGATTTCAGTCCTTCACGGCGTAGTGTGTTACCAATTGTTTTCTTGGTGACTATGGTCCCAGCTGCCTTGAGATCATTGACAAGATCCTCCCGTGTAGTTCTGGGCTGATTTCTCACCGTTCTCATGATCATTGCAACTCCACGAGGTGAGATCTTGCATGGAGCCCCAGGCCGAGGGAGATTGACTGTTCTTTTGTGTTTCTTCCATTTGCGAATAATCGCACCAAGCTGCTTGGCGATGGTCTTGTAGCCCATTCCAGCCTTGTGTAGGTCTACAATCTTGTCCCTGACATCCTCGGAGAGCTCTTTGGTCTTGGCCATGGTGGAGAGTTTGGAATCTGATTGATTGATTGCTTCTGTGGACAGGTGTCTTTTATACAGGTAACAAGCTGAGATTAGGAGCACTCCCTTTAAGAGTGTGCTCCTAATCTCAGCTCGTTACCTGTATAAAAGACACCTGGGAGCCAGAAATGTTTCTGATTGAGAGGGGGTCAAATACTTATTTCCCTCATTAAAATGCAAATCAATTTATAACATTTTTGACATGCATTTTTCTGGATTTTTTTGTTGCTCTTCTGTCTCTCACTGTTCAAATAAACCTACCATTAAAATGATAGACTGATCATTTCTTTGTCAGTGGGCAAACGTACAAAATCAGCAGGGGATCAAATACTTTTTTCCCTCACTGTAAGTTGCACACAGAGTTCTAAGGCAGTGGTTCCCAAACCGGTTTGTGCTGTGACCCATCCACTATACGTTTTTGATATCTCCCTCTGATCTACTAACTAAACTAGACCAATGTTTGTAGTCATGACCCAGTTTCTTACCACATCTTCACACAAATCAATGGCAACCCGCCAGTGGGTACCAAAACACCATACAGGGAAACAGTGTTCTGAGGAGTCTGTCAGGCGAGGAGGCTTTGTACATCACAGCACATACACTGCTCTCCCACAGGCCTCTTCTTGAACATCCTCCCTCGCAAGGACAAAGCCTCAGACAGATGCTGTCAGAACAGAACCGTTCAACCTCTCCTCCTGACGGCACTGTCCTCTGTGAAAAGACAGAGAAAAAAACAACACTCACTAAACATTGGGATAAAAATAACCAGCGCTTCTGAGAAGCAGAGTATCTCCTCGACCTTGTCACTCCACTGTAACTCTCCTCTGTTGTGATGACTTTCTCTCTTTTCCATTCACACTTTCATCCCCTTGTTTGTTATCCTCTGCTCCCATCTCTCCCCGTCATCATCTCCACAGTCCCAGACTGCAGCGGGAGGACAGAGGGATGTGACTTTGAAGGAAGATGAATTCACTGTGGGGGATTCTACAGGTGAGATGACTAGTCTGCTTACTGCTGATCTACTGCACTCCGTCTGTCTGTCACAACAGATCAATACTGTTCTTGTTTTTTTACCTATTTGTCTGGAATGAAGCGTTTGCGACAAGTGGATGGAATTGATGATGGATCTATACTTTGCTGTTGTTGACATTGTGCCAATCTGAAGATTATAACAACCTACTACCACTGGCGTACCACACACTTCCGCAGCCAATGCAAGGCGGGGGGGTCCACGGGTATTCATATATTTTTGGGGAGGGGTTTGGGGGCCCCCTGGAGGTGCGCCCCCCCCCCCCCCAGAGAGCATATGAACACGTTATAAGGCATGGTAAAAAATATATATAGAATTACAGGAAGTTTGCTGTAAAACTGCAAAATTTGCGGTACGCCAATGTTTACTACTAAATGTTGTTTTTTCATTGAATGTTGTACTTGAGTTATGATGTAGTAACTCATTTCCTCTCCCGTCGCCCTTCCAGTGACCCACAAAGACGGGAAGTTCCGCGCTGAGCTCTCAAAACTTACTATTATTGGCCGGACACGACACGATGAGCTCTGATTGGCTGGATATCCAAATGACTGTTGTAATATTGTCCAATGGTGACATCCATGCGAGCTCTCAAGGCAGGACATTGTGCTCTACTGTCGACAACAGTGGAAAATGAAGGACGATATTCAAGCATGAAGGACGATACAGTAATGGAGTGACAGCCTTAGAGCTTGGTGGTCTACAACTATGCTGTTGAATATATCTATTGTTTTTTAGTTAGAGGATTATGGCTTTACAGGGAAAATTCATTATGTTCCATAATGTATGAGAATGTATCTTGGGATGTCTGATGTTAACGGGTGTGGAGAGATGTAGGGTCAGAGGATTTATCGGTCTAATGCTAAGCCAGGGAAATGTGAGTAATCTATTGTCTTCATCGTGCGCACGTTAACAGATATACATTTTTTCCAATCTGCTTCTTCTCTAAGCAAGTGAATGCTTAATACAGACACTGTAGAGCAGGGAGCCCCAGTTAGAGCACCTGATTCAACCAACCAATCATCATTCAATGCAGTTGATTTAGTTTTTCTCACTCCTACCGACAGTCTTAATGAAGCTAGGTGGAGCTTTAGAACAGAAGCTTATTTGTCCCACCAGGATTAGAGACATATTGCCTTGATGTAGAGGATAGTAAGCTTGCCAGCACGTACCAGGTTCATCCCTGTCGGTCTAGAGGAGGCCATCCCTCAGCGTTGATAGTGGAGTCCCTTGGCTCCCAACAGGAAATACTACCGGGCACTTATTTTTTACATTTTATTTTCTACTCCTTGGTTTTCTAAATCACAATGTGCAACTGATGCTTCAATAAAAGTCATGTTGTCTGGGAATATGAAATGTGTGTTCTCATGTTTTGTTTTGACACAGCTGTTTGATCAAAATGTCATTGCTGAGATTTCACACTGCTGTCCATGGTCAGGTTTGATGGTTGTCAGTTTGGATTACTTTCAGATTTCTGTGTGCTGATCTCTTGCTCTTGTTTTACATTAGTAGGGCACACATTTTCAGTTCAGCAGGTTCGATAGCCCTGAGTTACATTATCCAGTGTAACATTACTACGTTCCATATGAAAATGTAGCTATTACACAAAGATGAAATTCAACGTGCATCATGTTTTTGGACACCACAAATGCATATGTATATAAATCAAAGTATTGGCAAGAAATAGTTCTCCCTTTATTTGCCAATGTTAAACTTCCTGTTGTTAAAGCAGCCTCTATTAGCCTCCCTCTAGTCAAACTATTACTGAACAAAAATATAAACGTAACATGTAAAGTGTTGGTCCCATGTTTCATGAACTGAAATCAGTGGTGTAAAGTACTTACAGTTGAAGTCGAAAGTTTCCATACACCTTAGCCAAATACATTTAAACTCTGTTTTTCACAATTCCTGACATTTAATCCTAGTAAGAATTCCCTGTCTTAGGTCAGTTAGGATCACCACTTTATTTTAAGAATGTGAAAAGTCAGAATAATAGTAGAGTGATTTATTTCAGCTTTTATTTCTTTCATCACATTCCCAGTGGGTCAGAAGTTTACATACACTCAATTAGTATTTGGTAGCATTGCCTTTAAATTGTTTAACTTGGGTCAAACGTTTCGGGTAGCCTTCCACAAGCTTCCCACAATAAGTTGGTTGAATTTTGGCCCATTCCTTTTGACAGAGCTGGTGTAACTGAGTCAGGTTTGTAGGCCTCCTTGCTCGCACACGCTTTTTCATTTCTGCCCACACATTTTCTATAGAATTGAGGTCAGGGCTTTGTGATGGCCACTCCAATACCTTTACTTTGTTGTCCTTAAGCCATTTTGCCACAACTTTGGAAGTATGCTTGGGGTCATTGTCCATTTGGAAGACCCATTTGCGACCAAGCTTTAACTTCCTGACTGATGTCTTGAGATGTTGCTTCAATATATCCACATAATTTTCCTTCCTCATGATGCCATTTATTTTGTGAAGTGCCCCAGTCCCTCCTGCAGCAAAGCACCCCCACAGCATGATGCTGCCACCCTCGTGCTTCAAGGTTGGGATGGTGTTCTTCGGCTTGCAACTAACACCCTTTTTCCTCCAAACATAACGATGGTCATTATGGCCAAAGAGTTCTATTTTTGTTTAATCAGACCAGACATTTCCCAAAAAAGTACGATCTTTGTCCCCATGTGCAGTTGCAAACCGTAGTCTGGCTTTTTTATGGTGGTTTTGGAGCAGTGGCTTCTTCCTTGCTGAGCGGCCTTTCAGTTTATGTCGATATAGGACTCGTTTTACTATGGTTATAGATACTTTTGTACCTGTTTTTCCTCCAGCATCTTCACAAGGTCCTTTGCTGTTGTTCTGAGATTGATTTGCACTTTTCGCACCAAAGTACGTTCATCTCTAGGAGACAGGTCTAGGAGACAGGTATGATGGCTGCATGGTCCCATGGTGTTTATACTTGCGTACTATTGTTTGTACAGATGAACGTAGTACCTTCAGGCGTTTGGAAATTGCTCCCAAGGATGAACCAGACTTGTTTTCTGAGGTCTTGGCTGATGTCCTAACCGACTTGCCAAAACTATAGTTAGTGGTTGAAAAACGAGTTTTAATGACTCCAACCTAAGTGTACAGTGGGGAAAAAAAGTATTTAGTCAGCCACCAATTGTGCAAGTTCTCCCACTTAAAAAGATGAGAGAGGCCTGTAATTTTCATCATAGGTACACGTCAACTATGACAGACAAAATGAGGAAAAAAAATCCAGAAAATCACATTGTAGGATTTTTAATGAATTTATTTGCAAATTATGGTGGAAAATAAGTATTTGGTCACCTACAAACAAGCAAGATTTCTGGCTCTCACAGACCTGTAACTTCTTCTTTAAGAGGCTCCTCTGTTCTCCACTCGTTACCTGTATTAATGGCACCTGTTTGAACTTGTTATCAGTATACAAGACACCTGTCCACAACCTCAAACAGTCACACTCCAAACTCCACTATGGCCAAGACCAAAGAGCTGTCAAAGGACACCAGAAACAAAATTGTAGACCTGCACCAGGCTGGGAAGACTGAATCTGCAATAGGTAAGCAGCTTGGTTTGAAGAAATCAACTGTGGGAGCAATTATTAGGAAATGGAAGACATACAAGACCACTGATAATCTCCCTCGATCTGGGGCTCCACGCAAGATCTCACCCCGTGGGGTCAAAATGATCACAAGAACGGTGAGCAAAAATCCCAGAACCACACGGGGGGACCTAGTGAATGACCTGCAGAGAGCTGGGACCAAAGTAACAAAGCCTACCATCAGTAACACACTACACCGCCAGGGACTCAAATCCTGCAGTGCCAGATGTGTCCCCCTGCTTAAGCCAGTACATGTCCAGGCCCGTCTGAAGTTTTGCTAGAGTGCATTTGGATGATCCAGAAGAGGATTGGGAGAATGTCATATGGTCAGATGAAACCAAAATATAACTTTTTTGTTAAAAACTCAACTCGTCGTGTTTGGAGGACAAAGAATGCTGAGTTGCATCCAAAGAACACCATACCTACTGTGAAGCATGGGGGTGGAAACATCATGCTTTGGGGCTGTTTTTCTGCAAAGGGACCAGGACGACTGATCCGTGTAAAGGAAAGAATGAATGGGGCCATGTATCGTGAGATTTTGAGTGAAAACCTCCTTCCATCAGCAAGGGCATTGAAGATGAAACGTGGCTGGGTCTTTCAGCATGACAATGATCCCAAACACACCGCCCGGGCAACGAAGGAGTGGCTTCGTAAGAAGCATTTCAAGGTCCTGGAGTGGCCTAGCCAGTCTCCAGATCTCAACCCCATAGAAATCTTTGGAGGGAGTTGAAAGTCTGTGTTGCCCAGCGACAGCCCCAAAACATCACTGCTCTAGAGGAGATCTGCATGGAGGAATGGGCCAAAATACCAGCAACAGTGTGTGAAAACCTTGTGAAGACTTACAGAAAACGTTTGACCTGTGTCATTGCCAACAAAGGGTATATAACAAAGTATTGAGAAACTTTTGTTATTGACCAAATACTTATTTTCCACCATAATTTGCAAATAAATTCATTAAAAGTCCTACAATGTGATTTTCTGGAATTTTTTTTTCTCATTTTGTCTGTCATAGTTGATGTGTACCTATGATGAAAATTACAGGCCTCTCTCATCTTTTTAAGTGGGAGAACTTGCACAATTGGTGGCTGACTAAATACTTTTTTTCCCCACTGTATGTAAACTTCCGACTTCAATTGTAAATAAAAATACTTTAAAGTACTACTTAAGTTTTTTGGGGGCGGTATCTGTACTTTACTTTACTATTTATATTTTTGACAACTTTTACTTTTACTCCACTACATTCCTAAAGAACACTATGTACTTTCTACTTTCTACATTTTACCTGACACCCAAAAGTCCAATTCAAACACTTATCAAGAGAAAATCCCTGGTCATCCGTACTGCATCTGATCTGGTGGACTCACTAAACACAAATGCTTTGTTTGTAAATGATGTCTGACTGTTGGAGTGTGCCTCTGGCTATCCGTAAATAAATAAAAAACAAGAAAATCGTGCCATCTGGTTTGCTTAATTTAAGGAATTTGAAATGTTTTATACTTTACTTTTGACACTTAAGTATATTTTAGCAATTACATTTACTTTTGATACTTAAGTATATATAAAACCAAATACTTTTAGACTTTTACTCAAGTAGTATTTTACTAGGTGACTTTCACTTTTACTTGAGTCATTTTCTATTAAGGTATCTATACTTGACTCAAGTATGACAATTGGGTACTTTTTCCACAACTGTCTGAAATAAAAGATCCCAGAAATGTTCCATATGCACAAAAAGCTTATTTCTCTCAAATGTTGTGCACAAATTTGTTTACATCCCTGTCAGTGAGCATTTATCCGTTGCCAAGATCATCCATCCACCTGACAGTTGTGGCATATCAAGAAGCTGATTAAACAGCATGATCATTACACAGGTGCACCTTGTGCTGGGTACAATAAAAGGCCACTCTAAAATGTGCCGTTTTGCCACAGATTATTCAAGTTTTGAGGGACCGCGCAATTGGCCTGCTGAATCCAGGAATGTCCACCAGAATTGTTGCCAGAGAATGTAATGTTCATTTCTTTACCATAAGCCGCCTCCAACATCGTTTTAGAGAATTTGGCAGTATGTCCAACTGGCTTCACAACCGCAGACCACGTGTAAACACGTCAGCCCAGGACCTCCACATCCGGCTTCTTCACCTGTGAGATCGTCTGAGACCAGCCACCTGGACAGCTGATGAAACTGGGTTTGCACAACTGAAGAATTTCTGCACGAACTGTCAGAAACCGTCTTAGGGAAGCTCATCTGCGTGCTCGTCGTCCTCACCAGGGTCTTGACATGACTGCAGTTTGGAGTCATAACCAACTTCAGTGGGCAAATGCTCACCTTAGATGGCCACTGGCACGCTAGAGAAGTGTGCTCTTCATGGATGAATCCCGGTTTCAACTGTACCGGGCAGATGGCAGACAGTGTGTATGGCTTCATACAGGCGAGCGGTTTGTTGATGTCAATGTTGTGAACAGAGTGCCCCATGGTGGCGGTGGGGATATGGTATGGGCAGGCGTAAGCAATGGACAACGAACACAACTGCAATAATTTTTATTGCAATTTGAATGCACAGAGATACCGTGACGAGATCTTGAGGCCCTTTGTTGTGCTATTCGTCCTCCACCATCACCTCATGTTTCAGCATGATAATGAACGGCCCCATGTCGCAAGGATCTGTACACAATTCCTGGAAGCTGAAAATGGCCCTGTTCTTCCATGGCCTCCATACTCACTAGACATGTCACCCATTGAGCATGTTTAGGATGCCCTGGATCGACGTGTACGACAGCGTGTTCCAGTTCCCGCCAATATCCAGCAACTTCACACAGCCATTGAAGAGGAGTGGGACAACATTTCACAGGCCACAATCAACAGCCTGATCAATTCTATGCGAAGGAGATGTGTTGCGCTGCATGTGTTGCGCTGCATGTGGCAAATGGTGGTCACACCAAATAGTGACTGGTTTTCTGATCCACGCTCCTACCTTTTTTTTAAAGGTACACTATATATACAAAAGTATGTGGACACCCTTTTAATTAGTGGATTCCGCTATTTCAGCCACACCCGTTGCTGACAGGTGTATAAAATCGAGCACACAGCCATGCAATCTCCATAAACAAACATTGGCAGTAGAATGGCCTTACTGAAGAGCACAGTGAATTTCAACGTGGCACTGTCATAGGATGGCACCTTTCCAACAAGTCAGTTCATCAGATTTCTACCCTGCTAGAGCTGCCCCGGTCAACTGTAAGTGCTGTTATTGTGAAGTATAAACATCTAGGAGCAACAACGGCTCAGCCGCGAAGTAGTAGGCCACACAAGCTCACAGAACTGGACCGCCGAGTGCTGAACCACGTAGCGCATACAAATCGTCTGTCCTCGGTTGCAACACTCACTACCGAGTTCCAACCTGTCTCTGGGAAGCTACGTTAGCACAATAACTGTTTGTCGGGAGCTTCATGAAATGGGTTTCCATGGCCGAGCAGCCGCACATAAGGCTAAGATCACCATACGCAATGCCAAGCGTCAGCTGGAGTGGTGTAAAGCTCGCCGTCATTGGACTCTGGAGCAATGGAAACGTGTTCTCTGGAGTGATTAATCACGCTTCACAATCTGGCAGTACGACGGACGAATCTGGGTTTGTCGGATGCCAGGAGAACACTACCTGCCCCAATACATAGTGCCAACTGTAAAGATTGGTGGAGGGAAATCTTAATGCTACAGCATACAATGATATTCTAGACGATTCTGTGCTTCCAACTTTGTGGCAACAGTTTGGGGAAGGACCTTTTCTGTTTCAGCATGACAATTTCCTCATGCACAAAGCGAGGTCCATACAGAAATGATTTGTTGAGATTGGTGTGGAAGAACTTGACTGGCCTGCACAGAGCCCTGAGCTCAACTCCATCGAACACCTTTGGGATGAATTGGAATGCCGACTGCGAGCCAGGCCTAATCGCCCAACATCAGTGCCCAACCTCACTAATGCTCTTGTGGCTGATTGGAAGCAAGTCCACGCAGCAATGTTCCAACATCTAGTGGAAAGCCTTCCCAGAAGAGTGGAGGCTGTTATATCAGCAAAGGGGGGACCAATTTCATATTAATGCCCATTATTTTGGAATGAGATGTTCGACGAGCAGGTGTCCACATACTGTTGTTCATGTAGTGTATCTGTGACCAACAGATGGATATCTGTATTCCCAGTCATGTGAAATCCACAGATTAGGGCCTAATTAATTTATTTCAATCGACTGATTTCCTTTTATGAACTGTAACTCAGTAAAATCTTTGAAATTGTTGCATGTTACATTTATATTTTTGTTCAGTGTATAAATGGGTCATTACCATTGGCCATCTGTTACTACTATAACTGTTGACTTTTAACTTCCCGTGTCTGTAACCATCAGAAAACATAGCCAACATTGTCTAAAATTGTGTTGGAATGTATTACTAAGATCCCTGATTAGAACAATGTTTCCAGTCCAAATGTATCTGCTGAAGTACATTTCAAGTCCACAAGATGGCATCAAATTAACTACAAATACAAATGATCTACAACATGCAACGATGCGTTACAACCGCTGTGATACAGGTAGATTGATTCTGAACTACGGGCACGATGATACGACCCGATGAGTGCGTAATCATTTCTCTCTTGTAAATGCTCTCAGCCAGTTTGGACTGCATTCCCCCTGTCTCTCTCTCTCTCTCTCTCTTCCTCTGTATTTCCTGATTGACATTTACAAGGAACAGATGGAGCTTATGGATGAGGAGGGTTAGGTTAGGCATCACCACCAAGGGCCCTTTGAAGGGTAGGACTAATGGCCAGCTGCCCCGCTGTCTCTGTCCCCCTCCTCCCCATCTCCCCCTGACACACTTCCAAACACTGGGTGACCAAGTCAGCCAAGAGACATGGTACGCCAAAGAGATGCTCTCACTTCCTATTTGGCCGTGTCATCATTCTGCTATGTGAGCATCTGCATCGGGCCCTAGTTGTTACAAGTGCAGCCGAGCCAGGTGTTGCTGTCTCTTATCCTCCTATTAAGATTTGGTCATAGCCAGAAAGGTGGGGAGGGTGTCAGCACAAATGCAGCAGAGCTATGCTGACATATACTCACCCCGAGACGCCTCTCATCACCTTGGAAACGTGGACTCTGCTCAAGTTGGCGAGCCTTAAATCACCCTCTGCTCCCTCAGCTCTGTGGCTGTTGCTCCATTCATCCAACCACCTCCCTCTCACACCGTGGTCGAGAGCAGTCTTCTCTTCACAGGATACGGGGGAGCCTTCCTGGGGTCCTTGCCTTTACTCGCTCCCCGATCAAAGTGCCCATTGTGCGGGTAAGGAGGAGGCTTGCGGCCCTTGGGCCCTGGAACTCTCCCTGGGCCGTGTGGGACCGTCTGGCCCTGGGTTAGCCCCAGTGATTTAGCAGATGTTGTCCTCACTCCCTCCACCCTGGTCTGGGTCTTAAGGCCTCTGGGTGGGCTGACAGGGCGAGGCGCCCTCATGGGTGGCCCTGTTTGGGTCTCTACGGTGACAGATGGACCAAGAGCAGAGGGGTGAGGAGGGGGACTTTTTTTATGGGGAGAAAGTCCAAGGGTGTGAAAGAGAGTAGAGTTAGAGGCAGGGTTGAGGGGGTAATACAAACTCTTGCTCTTGACTGATGGATCATGGGTGTTGGGGTGAGGTGGGTTGGTACTGAGGGGGGACAGACCAGGGGTGGGAGGGCGAACAGGGCTACTCCTATGAGGGTTGGGAGCAAGTTGGTGGGGGAGGCGGACCGGGCTGGAGGCAGGGTTGTGACGCTGGGGTGAGTTAGTCCTGATGAGGGAGGAGAGAGCTGCATCCCCCTGCCTGGCCTCCTCACCCCTGGGCCTCTGGTGGCTGCTGCCCATCGCGACTCCACTGGAGGTGGAGCTGCTGTCACTGGGCAGGCTGGGGCTGGCATCCCCTTCACTCAGGTCAATGGACGAGGTCAGCAGCTCAATCTGCTGCACCACCTGTGAAAGGGATTAAGATACACGTCAGCGATGATGGGGCTGGAGAGATGCGAGAAAATGAGACTAGAGAAAACGTTTGATCTGCCTCAACCTTTGCTGTGTGTGGTCGTGCTGTTGCTAGACAAATTGTTTTTCTCACTTAACTACTCAAGTTCTCTGGTGTCTTCCTTCAGGTCCCTGACCACCTGGTCCAGTAAGATATGTTCCTTGCACCACACTATAACAGCAGCATCACTGGATGTTACTTCATACATTTATTTAACGTTCTACTAACGTTTGCAATACCCTCGTGCAATACCCTTGCTCTCGGGCTGCACTTATGCTGAACTTTCCACCTAGCACAGCAGGAGCGCCAAATAACAGTACAGTAATGCAGCCAGATAACGTGAGAGGGGCCGATTTACATGTCACTTTTATGGGATGAGAATATGAGCCAGGGCTCAGGCGTTTCCATAAATGGATTAAAAGCATGGTTCCAGCTGCTCCCCTGTCAGCATCTGGTGGTGGAGGGACTGGAGAGGAGAGGGTACCGCTGCTGAGCATCACTTTAAAACATTGCATACATTAGGTAAATGGAGCATAGCAGGGTTGTTCCATGCCTTTTGCGTCCCTTTGATATTTTAAGTAGAAATTGTGCACCAATATAAATGGTGCCCTTTAATATAGACCACATGTTATATTCAATAAATCTGATTTTTTTTATATGAATAAAGACTTCCTTCTGGGAAGATTGTAACCCACTTAACCCTAAAAAGTTTTCACCATCATTGTAAAGCCCTAGTTATTTTGTTGCTTTGACAAAGTAATTTCTGAAGATTATTATTTATTTAATGTGATTAGTGATTAATAAAAATAAAAATAAAAAAACACCCTGTTACGTGAACTGAACTTTCGCTTTAATATTTATTTCGAAACATTGAACATTTAATAGTCAAATCTTAGTGTAAAAGCAGTGAGCTGGTTCTACTCTATTTGGCAATTCTCTGGTGTTTTGTGGTGGAAAACTGAGCGGTCAAGCATAACACATCAACCCTGTTACCCATAGATAGACAGGCTAGAAACGTTTGAACAATTTCATTTAGTAAAATTAGCATTCAATTGCCCCTCCCTGTTGCACACAACAAGCTTCCATTCCCCCACAATTCCATTCTCACAGAGGGACTTCTGACTGATTTAAGAGGAAATCCTCAACCCTGTTACTTTATTTACATTTACATTTTAGTCATTTAGATATTTGGACTTAATAGGCACTAACTATAGTACTTTTTGTATTTAATTAACCTCTTGAGATGGGAAAAAGTGATTTTTATTAAGTTGAACATGTGCTGTTTATGACAGTTAATTGACGAAGTTACACTACCCAAGAGGTACTCATTTGGTGGAACCATAGAGAATGATAGAGGCCTCTACTAGCCAAAAGCCTGTATTAGCATGTGTAGCACGATTGAGGGCTTTCACCATTTTGAAGTAGTCAACTGGGTGGGACTTCCAATGGGTTAAGGAAGGATCATATGATTCCATCCGGGTCATCAGGAGGGATCAGCCAATTAATTATACTTGTGAGCAAACATTCCATAACTGCAGGTGGCAGTAAATCGCCAATCTTGGCTTTATACCTGTTCAAACAGCACACTACATGTGGCAGAATGTATTCCTTTCAGTTTGTTTGCCAACAAAAGAGAATGGTGTTGGAATGTATAACGGCCGTTTTACGGGCTCCTGACCAACTTTGCTATATTGTATGTTTTTCTGCGCAGATCGAAACTTTTTGGTACATAATGTTCCCGCCATTATTTCCTATGACCGAAAATAACTTCTGGACATTAGAACAGCGATCACTAACCTCGATTTGGATTAAGATTTCTACTTCAATGAGTCGGTGGCAGAGGGCATATTGCTCACCCCGGACCAGAACGTAATCCCGACACTCGGAATGAAAGAGATGACAATATAGAGGCTGATTTGCGGGGAACCCTGATGAAACTACGGCAGCGAGTAAATAAACCGCCTCTACTCTCTGTTCTACTGGCGAATGTACAATCACTGGAGAACAAACTGGACGAGCTCCGTTCCAGACCATCCTATCAATGGGACCTGAAGAACTGTAATATCCTATGTTTCTCGGAAACTTGGCTGAACAAGGACATGGATAGTATTCTATCTGGTTTTTCTATGCATCGGCCATAAGCAAACAAGAAAATGCTCATCCAGAGGCAGCGCTCCTGGTGGCCGGTGATTTTAATGCAGGAAAACTGAAATCCGTCTGACCTAATTTCTACTAGCATGTCACCTGTGCAACTAGAGGCAAAATAACTCTATATCACCTTTACTCCACACTCTGACTCTCGTTATCATGGATTACAAAGGAAACCCAGCCGCGAGCTGCCCAGTGACGCAAGCCTACCAGACAAGCTAAATGCCTTCTATGCTCGCTTCGAGGCAAGCAACACTGAACCATGCGTAAGAGCACAAGCTGTTCCGGACGACTGTGTGATCACGCTCTCCGTAGCCGATATAAGACCTTTAAACAGGTTAACATTCACAAGGCCGCAAGGCCAAACGGATTACCAGGACTCAGATCATGTGCCGACCAGCTGGCAAGTGTCTTCACTGACCTTTTAAGCCTCTCTCTCTTACATGTTTCAAGCAGACCACCATAGTCCCTGTGCTCAAGAACGCCAAGGTAACCTGTCTAAATGACTATCGCCCCGTACACTCACATCTGTAATCATGAAATGCTTTGAAAGGCTGGTCATGGCTCACATCAACACCATCATCCCAGACACCCTGCACCCACAGATCCACAGATGATGCAATCTGTATGGCACTCCACACTGCCGTTTCCCACTTGAACAAAAGGAACACCTACGTGAGAATGCTGTTCATTGACTACAGCTCAGCGTTCAACACCATAGTGCCCTACATGCTCATCAATAAGATAAGGACCCTGGGACTGAACACCTCCCTCTGCAACTGGATCCTGGATTTCCTGATGGGACTCCCCCAGGCGGTGAGGCTAGGCAACAACACATCCACCACGCTGACACTCAACACGGGAGCCCCTCAGGGGTGCGTGCTTAGTCCCCTCCTGTACTCCCTGTTCACCCACGACCGCATGGCTGCGCATGACTCCAACACCATTATTAAGTTTGCTGACAACACAGCGGTGGTAGGCCTGATCACCGATGATGATGAGACAGCCTATAGGGAGGAGGTCAGACACCTGGCAGTGTGGTGCCAGGACAACAACCTCTCCCTCAACGTCAGCAAGTCAAAGGAGCTGATCGTGGACTACAGGAAACAGATGGCCAAGTCCCCATTCACATCGACGGGGCTGTAGTGGAGTGGGTTGAGAGCTTCAAGTTCCTTGGTGTCCACATCACTATGGATCTACCATGGTCCAAACACACCAACACAGTCGTGAAGAGGGCACGACAAAGCCTCTTCCCCCTTAGGAGGCTGAAAAGATTTGGCATGGGCCCTCAGATCCTCAAAAAGTTATACAGCTGCACCATTGAGAGCATCTTGACTAGCTACATCATCGCTTGGTATGGCAACTGCTTGGTCATCCAACCACAAGGCGCTACAGAGGGTAGTGCGGGCAGCCCAGTACATCATTGGGGCTGAGCTCCCTGTCATCCAGGACCTCTATACCAGGTGGTGTCAGAGGAAGGCCCTACAAATTGTCAAAGACTCCAGCCACCCAAGTCATAGACTGTTCTCTCTGCTACTGCACGGCAAGCGGTACCGATGCACCAAGTCTTGAACCAACAGGACCCTGAACAGCTTCTACCCACAAGCCATAAGACTGCTAAATAGTTAGTTAAATAGTTAACCAAATAGCTACCCGGACTATCTGCATTTACACTTTTTGCACTAACTTTTTTGACTCACCACATTCGTGCTGCTACCGTTTACTATCCATTTATACGCTTTATTCCTAGTTATACAGTGCCTTGCAAAAGTATTCACCCCCCTTGGCGTTTTTCCTATTTTGTTGCATTACAACATGTAATTTAAATCGATTTTTATTTGGATTTCAGTCCAAATTGGTGAAGTGAAATGAAAAAAATAATTTGTTTCAAAAAATTATACTAAATAAATATCGGAAAAGTGGTGCGTGCATATGTATTCACCCCCTTTTGCTATGAAGCCCCTAAATAAGATCTGGTGCAATCAATTACCTTCAGAAGTCACATAATTAGTTAAATAAAGTCCACCTGTGTGCAATCTAAGTGTCACATGATCTGTCACATGATCTCAGTATATATACACCTGTTCTGGAAGGCCCCAGAGTCTGCAACACCACTAAGCAAGGGGCACCACCTAGCAAGCGGCACCATGAAGACCAAGGAGCTCTCCAAACAGGTCAGGGGCAAAGTTGTGCAGAAGTACAGATCAGGGTTGGGTTATAAAAAAACTTTGAACATCCCACGGAGCACCATTAATTCCATTATTAAAAAATTGAAAGAATATGGCACCACAACAAACCTGCCAAGAGAGGGCCGCCCACCAAAACTCACAGACCAGGCAAGGAGGACATTAATCAGAGAGGCAACAAAGATACCAAAGATAACCCTGAAGGAGCTGCAAAGCTCCACAGCGGAGATTGGAGTATCTGTCCATAGGACCATTTTAAGCCGTACACTCCACAGAGCTGGGCTTTACGGAAGAGTGGCCATCCCCACAATGAAGCATGGTGGTGGCAGCATCATGCTGTGGGGATGTTTTTCATCGGCACGGACTGGGAAACTGGTCAGAATTGAAGGAATGATGGATGCCGCTAAATACAGGGACATTCTTGAGGGAAACCTGTTTAAGTCTTCCAGAGATTTGAGACTGGGACGGAGGTTCACCTTCCAGTAGGACAATGACCCTAAGCATACTGCTAAAGCAACACTCGAGTGGTTTAAGGGGAAACATTTAAATGTCTTGGAATGGCCTAGTCAAAGCCCAGACCTCAATCCAATTGAGAATCTGTGGTATGATTTAAAGATTGCTGTACACCAGTGGAACCCATCCAACTTGAAGGAGCTGGAGCAGTTTTGCCTTGAAGAATGAGCAAAAATCCCAGTGGCTAGATGTGCGAAGCTTATAGAGACATACCTCAAGAGACTTGCAGCTGTAAACGCTCAAGTTTTCAGTTTTTTGGTCTTATTTCTTGTTTGTTTCACAATAAAAAATATTTTGCATCTTCAAAGTGGTAGGCATGTTGTGTAAATCAAATGATACAAACCCCCAAAAAAATCCATTTTAATTCCAGGTTGTAAGGCAACAAAATATGAAAAATGCCAAGGGGGTGAATACTTTCACAAGCCACTGTGTGTACATATCTACCTCAATTACCTCGCACCCCTGCACATCGACTCGGTACTGGTACCCCTTGTATATAGCCAAGTTATCGTTACTCATTGTGTATCTATTATTACTTGTATTATTACGTGTTGACAATACCAGGACATCGCTCACTATCCCCTCCCAAAACAAGTTTTTTATATTTTATTTTTAATATTTGTTGTTGTTGTTGTATTTGACACTTATTGAGACATTTTGGAAATCAGAACAGTGGGATGCGAAGCTTGAACCACAGTCTCCATTGTACATGTGACTTGTGCCGGGGAGTGTTACCACTACACCACAGCTCTGCACAAGAAACAGCTTTAAATCCTCCCATCAAAGATAGACCCTAGCTGTAACTTATAGGCAAACAGAAACGTCTTTACCTCCTTCATCTCCTGATGGATGTCCTTCAGGCCTCCTAGAACCTCCTCCAGGTTCTCCACCACTCTCCGGATCTGATCCCGGACCACCTTCCGGTGGCTCCTCTTCGACCCAGTCAGCCCTGGCCCTCTCCTGGAGCCCTGGTGGCCGCTGGGGGGCCTGGTCTGGACGTCCTCTGGGGTGGGACAGTGCTTACTGGGACTCTGCTGGGGTCTGAGAGTGGGACCTCCCATGTTTCTCTGAGGAACCTCTGTGGAGAATATGACCTCATGCAGAGAGCTGGGTCCATTGTAACCCTCCACAGGTTTAGTCAAGTCTTTCTGGTCTCTTCTGGTCTCTGGTCCACCTACAGGTTTAGTCAAGTCTTTCTGGTCTCTTCTGGTCTCTGGTCCACCTACTGGTCTAGTCAAATGTTTATGGCTGTTTCTGACTTTTTTTTGGGTGGAACTCAAGGTGGAACTGAAACTCTGGTGAATGGGTAAGTCCTGTGTGGCTGTGGCTGAATCCACCCAGCTGGATTTATGAATGTTTCTCTGACAGGTCTGTCTGGGGTAACCCCATAGCTGGTCCTCCAAACAAACAGGCACTTTACAGCCGTCTTGACCTTTGAACTGTTTTGGCGGAGCGGGGGCAGGGGCCATCACGTAGTTCTTGACTGAGGGGTGTGGTAACGTCTGCCGGTGGTTCCAAACAAAGGAGTGTTCTGTGTAGTGGTTCCTGACAGACGCGCTGTGTCTCAGGCCTGGCTCTGGAGACTGGCCTTGGCTCCACCTGGAAGGACTGCCCTCTTGGCTACTTAAATCTGGCTCCTCCAGTCCCAGTCCATTCAAATGGGGACCCATCCTTTCCTTCCCATGTATAGTGTTGATCACCTCTTGTGATTTAAAGCCTACCTCTTTGGCTCTGTTGGGATAGGTAAGGTTGGCATCAGTCCGCCTGCGCTGCCCATTGAGTCCCATGTCGCTGTGGTGGGCCCTGAATCTATTGTGGAGCCAGAGGTTGAGATGAGGGTTGCTGTGCTGATAGCCTCTGTGCTCCCCAGGAGCTCTGGTGTCTGAGAACATGATGGAAGCAGTCCAGCAGCCACAGAGGAAGAATCCTTAAATAATTAACTTTTTTTCCCTCCAGCTTCCCGCCCTTGCCATTCACATGGAAAGTTTTTCTCATTGACTTCTCTCTCTCCCGCTCTTTTCCTGTCTCTCGAAAACTTTCTTCCGCTTATTTCTCCTCAGACCCCCACCCACTCGCTCCCCTTTTTCCTGTCCAAGCCTGTTTCTGATTGTATCCCTTTGTTTTTTTCTCTATTTCTCTTCCCGGTCCTCCCCCCTCACTCTCCGTCTTAGCACGCTGTCGTCCTTACAGCTTCACCCTGTTGCCCTCTCTGTTGCTCATGGCCTCTCTGTCTTCCTCTCGCTCGCTTTCCCTCCCTGCGTCTCTGGCTCAGTGGCTGTGGCATGCTTCCTGTCTCTCCCTCTCTCTCCCTCTCTCTCTCTCTCCCTCACTCTCTCTCTCTCGCTCTCACTCATTCCCCCTCCCACCCAGCACTGCGCTGTCTCCCCTTCTCGCTCTTTATTCCTCCCACTCCTTCTCACTGCTGTACCTCCCTCTCCCTCTGTACCTCTCTCCCTTTCTATCTCTCCCTCTCTCACTCTGTGTATGTCTGTCTCGCTCTCTCCCATTTAACCCGCTTGCAGAGTGAGACTAGTGGAACTTCAATCAAGATTCTTGTTTTTAATCCCTGGTAGACGCTGTGTCCCCACGTGAGCCTCCCCACTCCGCCTCTCATCTGATTACTCCTGTTCAGCTTGGGATTCCAGAAGGGGTGAGAGGGGGATAAGGAGGGGGTGGGGTGGATGCTCAACACTGCACCCGTAGCATACAGCAGTTAGCTACACAGGAATAAAATCCCTGACCAGATACAAGCTGTAACACACCTGCCCCGGCCCGTTAACTACAGTATTGCCACCTATGGAACTGAGGCACCTCTTGTTGTTTCATGTTATTTTCTGCTTCTCTGACTTCTATTTGTTCCAATTATGCAGTGCCAGCTGCTATTTGAAGCTTGATTTAAATCCCATCTTGGCTTGGCAACTGTCTGGATTAGTTGTGATGTGTCTGACAAACCCAGAGATGCCTCTTAGGGGTCTTTTTACTCACTGTGCGACTCCCTCCTTGGATGCACCCTAAATGAGACAATGACAGTCACTGAGAACACTGACAGTGGCTGTCACTCAGGAAGAACAGTTTCAGCATTTGCCACGAGCTTACTCAGCACAACAAACAATTTCTGAGAAATCCCCTTTAGTGGCAATAGGAATGGAGAAATACTACAGAAAGACCATGACATATTCTAATAGATACATGTACTCAAAGTGATGGGGGGGGTATTCCCCATTCCAGGGTAAGAAGATTCCTTCTCAAACTCGAGCGCCTGTGCTTAGCTGACCACTGCTGTGTGGATAACAAAAAACCCTGGAAGTAATAGAGGGGGCTGTATTAATCCATCTAAAGCTCTACTTGAACATGGCTTACACTCTCCAATGCCCCAGCTGTTTCCAATGACTGTTTCCTTTGTTTCAGTGAACACCTCTGCTGCACAATCACTCCATTCCCCATTGTTCCCAAGGTCACTCATGTGAACGTAAACAGATCCAAAAAACAATGTTTTGTCCTCAGATGTTGACCACCCCACTCCCACACACACACACCTGAATTGTAGGGCTCTCATGTGCTGGACTTTCCTCATCATGTAGCTACCTCTGACTAAAACTCTCAGCTTTCAACCAATCACCCTCCCACTGTGTGTGGATCATAAATAACGTCCAGGCTGCGAAAATGCACAATGGTAGCTCATTTGAAAGTCTGTGGAATAATAAGTACCTGTCGCTGTTGCTCGTCTAACAGCAGTCGATGTACGGTGGAGCCCAGTTGGAGACCTTCACTCCATCCATTACATTATGGTAATGTCTGTCCTTATAGAGCCACCACAACTTTACAGGCACTACACAGTAACAGAGCCACAGTAGACTAGCTATATATCCTGGTGTAGCTTTTGTCTCTGTATACACAGCACAGCGCCAGAGAGATGCAGAAGCAGCATTATGTAAGCGTGTGGCGGAGATTGTCCTCTGGACAGACCACATATGTTTTGTCAAAGCTCTGTGAAAAATGTATTTGTCACAGTCTGAAGCCCCTATGGGCATTTTGGTAACTTTAGAGCTATAGCAACTTAAACAGCAGAGATGCTTAAAGTGCAATACAGTATAGGAACAATTGAAAGTTTTTTATTTTTTTGCTGTCTTAGAGAATGACTGAATATATTTCAGGAAAAAAACTTAGTGAGTCAACTCCCTCAGTTCTCATTAAAGCACTGTCATTCCTGAGTCCAGCATGAGGTCTTGCCACTGTGTAAAATAACAGCATGTTTTAGTCTGTTCCTGTGTATTTTTTACATTGTTTTCCTTTCGATATCTTTCATCTTTCATCTTTGAAGTAACACGTCAGTCAGGTGCACTCAGAGGATTCACTAGAGCAAGAGAAAAATAGGGTTTGAAAGACTTCTAAGTCCCAGGTAACTGTCATAGCTCCACTTGCCAGAGGGGAGAGCCTCTTTAAGCATACAGGATGAGGCAAAGAGTTCTGGATGTGAAGGGAATACAAATTAATGGCAAATATAGCAGTTTTCTAACCCTGAATCTACTTACAAAAGAAACTCAAGCATGTATGAAACTCAGTGTTGGGGAAGCTACTCTAAAAAAGATATAGTTTAACAAGCTACCAATTACTTTACACTGGAAGAAGTTAAGCTACCCTTAAGAAAATTATACTTTGAAAAAGTAGTTCACTACATCCAAACTACTTAGTGAAAAATTATCATATGTAAATCTGAAATGTAATAGACTACAAATTGCAAGAACAAATCACTTTGGGGTCATATGTTAACAGAATGTGTAATTTAGCCGATTAAACACAAAAACAATGTTTTAAATGAGAATTAGGCAGGTCTGATTCTGAAAAAGAAAGGAAATTATTGTATACTTCACCCATATTTTATTTGTGCAAAAAAAGTACTACTCCCAAACACGGATGAAACTCAAGAACAATTCAGCATATGAACTGGAATGTTGCCATACCGTGTATTGTGCCGTTTACCTCATACAGTATTTATTTTATTTTTTTTACATTTTAGTCATTTAGCAGACGCTCTTATCCAGAGCGACTTACAGTTAGTGAGTGCATACATTTTCATACTGGCCCCCCGTGGGAAACAAACCCACAACCCTGGTGTTGCAAGTGCCATGCTCTACCAACTGAGCTACAGGGAACCCAGTAAAATCAAGTAAAGTGCTTTGTGGATTTCTGAGATTCGCCTGTATACTGTATAAGAGACAATACAGCTGGTGCAATTATAAGCACTGAATAAATCAATCAAATTAGACAGTGCCTATCTTTCCCATTAATTTGATATTGAGGCATAGCTGGATCTACACTACAGATGGTGTGGGACATGATCACAACATTCAACCACTCTTGAGGTCTGAAAATATTGTTTTGAGTGATCTGGACCTTTAAAAACCTTTCTTTATGGATGCAGTTCATTAGGATGCCAAGCTGTGATGTGTCTGGTGTTTGGGACAGGGTTGGGGTAGATAGACTCTTGCCATACATACAGTATAGTTAACACATGGACTGAGTGAATGTGAGTGGACTGACTAATGATGTCTTCACAGGCCTGCACTGTCCAGCTTCAGTGGAGGCTGCTGAGGGCAGGATGGCTCATGATAATGGCTGGAACGGAGTAAATGGAATGGCATCAAACATATTCCGCTCCAGCCATTTCCACAAGCCCATCCTCCCCAATTAAGGTGCCACCAACCTCCTGTGTTCAGCTTGCCTCCTTTTTAAGATGCAGGACTTCTCCTTCTTAGTTGGTTCATTATGGAAGGCAGCTTCATACGAAAATGTATTAAAGTTTACATTGATATCCACTTTGATAAACAAGTCAGGGACTGGCAGTTCCAAAGTTTAATTTTCAGCCAGACCATTGAAGCAAGTCACACTGGAGAGAAAAATAAGCAACTGGACTGAACAAAATATTTTTTTTAGAAATGTGTGCCACCCATTTTCTGTGAGGCTTTGATGTTCCTCTGTCCACCCTGAAAGAGACAATTATGTTTCTTATCATGATAATGATTCAGAAAATGATTGGGCACTTACCAGTACCCTTAAGTCTTTACAACCGTTTCTTTACAAGTAGGAACATGTCAAAAATACCTAGAGTGGATAATGTATCCTGACACTGTCTTTCAGAAATGATCAAAACCAATAGCTACAAATTAATTCACCCAGCTGGCATTTGAGTTTGATGATAAAAGCCCTTTCCATTCACAAGCTGATAGAACATTTATTTCCTGAATCCTGACCAAGGTAAAGAATTACTGTAGCCATGTCAATGCTAAGTGGAAACGCTTCATTTCCACTCTATTGGTCTCCACCTTTACCTTTGACCTGGGCACGTCCGTTTGGAAATTAAGTTCAAGATTATTTTTTTTTTACCAAAACAAAATTGTTTGTCAGATAGGAAGTTAGCCATGTTCCCAAAGTAAACACAAGCCTAATAATGTCCTGACCAGGCCGAAGGGATTTGGCTGACCCAATCCAGGGCACACAGATTATGTTCTGATCTAGCTGCTGAAATTTAGCATCGAGCTGGAAAGAGACTGGTGCCTTATCAAGAAAAGACAAAGAATTTATTGATTTAAAAAAAGAGTATTCATTTATATTTGTCATATCTAGTAGAGGGTGAAGGGACACTAAAACAACATGTACATCAACGTATAAATGAAAGATCAAAAAAATAATAATACATACTTCACAATCCAACTGTAAAAATACAACATGACTTAAAAGACTTGTGAGTTTATGTGAAATGTATGAAGCCGAATTGTTCAGTGAATTGGTCCAATTGTTTCATGAAGTTTTTCATGAGTACAAGCTCTGAGACTTAACCCTGAGAAGTGTTGAGACTGGAAAGAATGGAATCTTTGACATTTAAGTACTGAACTAGCTTAAGTATTCTGGGACTTCAATGTTCTGGTCCTGTGAGCATTCACTTACTACAACTCCCCCAGACATAGGAGGATTAAGTCAAATGGAGACAACATAAAAGTCCCGAAAAAAATGGAATGTAACATTTGAAAACATGACATTCATTACCATCATCATCATCTTGTGCATATTGTTTTCCCTAGTAATGTTCCTTTAGAAAGGTCCTTTTCACGATTGTGAGATTGCTTTGGCAGAGCTGTTACAGTACAGGAGAGGGAGGTTTCAGTGACAGTAGATCCTGGAGAACACAGCACTCATTACAACTCTCTGCTGCAGCTCCTCACAGGTTTACACTGTCACTGAGAATACTAAAGGAGGCCACAGCGCAAACAGTCTCCTAGACAAGCTCAGCCATACAAACACGCAGAGATAGGCCAAGATAAAGAAAAAGAAAATCCATTATGTGCAGGATAGTAGTATATAACATTCTAAATAACAATTTAAATTGTTCATAAAAAAATACAAAAAACTTCACTCCCAAATAGGACTTGCATCAAGCAGAGATGGGGATCTAAATCACATTAAATGGGGCTGGGGTGTTAGAGTGAAGTGGATTATCTGTATGTAGTCTATTATTGGCACAGAGTAAGGGATTAATTATATGGAATCATGGAAGGTACAATCAGGTATTGTTTTAGTCTCTGCTCTAATCTAGAATACCCTGTCTCTCCCTATGTTATGTGATCTCACCAACAAAGACAACCTCTCATGTAGGAAGCTACTTCCCTTTCCCATATCCTACAGTCATTAACATTGACATGACTGTACATGGAGAGTCTATCTCGCCTGTGCAGAGAAGTCATTTACAGAAATCAAAGTGTTTGCTGGGCGGTGGGTTCAGTACAGCTCAGATGAGGTTAAAGAGCTGATGAGTCAGCAGCTCAGTGACAATAAGGACTCACAGCACAATCAACTCCCTCCATGTTTATAGCCCCATGACCCAAATTACACACACTTTGGTGTGGTTGTAATAAAAACAGGTCATTAGGGCCAAAGCAGGCTTTACAGGTATTTTGATCCAAACACAGTGCAGACTTCCTTAGGATATGGAGGCCATGTGGATGGTGGTATGAGCGTTAAAGTGATGCTGAACCTGGATTATTGGTCTGTTATGTTAACAAGTAACACCTCTACAAATATTTGTGGGTGTGTGTCAGCTCATGTTTTTTTACTAGAATGTTAATTATTAAAAACAAACTACAGGGCTTGTTTAACCTCAGGTAGCACTCCTGTCTCTAAATACAGAGTCCCTTATAGTTGTCCTGAAGTAGGTTAAAATCTACTATTGTCCTCTTTCTCTTGCTATAAAAGCATTTTAGCCCATTCAATTCACCACTCACACACATGACCTTTAGGCTGTGGTTGGAGTCATGCCTTGTTACCAGGGGTACAGACACCCCTTGGTCTAAATAGGAAAAAAAGACAGTTCCAAAGCACTGGTGAAGTCCTCGGTCCGGAAATGATTGACAAGAGCTTGTGTTCTACATTCACTGGAGAGGTCCATGTTTTTCCTTTAAATAAAGAAGAAACGTAGGAGAAACTTTAGACTAACTAGCCTGGAGAATCTGTTAGTGTTGTACAGTAATGTCGGTAGGGCACACAAAAAAAAACACACAAGAAAATGTCAAATGTCCACATATAATATGCATAACATTTGTCTCTTAAAAAAACAACACTAGCCAATAAGGCAACACCGTGGTGAATTTCACACCACCAGGTAAGGCCTCAAAAAGTTAAAGTGGGAGGGGTCAAAAGGTCCTGGGGAGAGGGGGGGGTCAAAGGTTGCCCTCGTCCAGCATCTTGTTGACACCATCACAGATCCTCTGCAGGTGGCCGCGGTACACCTCAGACGGCCCGTAGAGCGCCGCGAGGAAGTCACAGTCGGCAAAGTGGTTGAACACGTGGTTGACCCGTGAGTGGCTCTTGGCCGTCAGGTGGCGGTTGATGGCCTGGTGCAGCAGCTCGCGGCACTCATTCAGGATGGCGCTCATCACGCGCCGGTCGAATGTGAACTCGATCTGGTGAAAGCTGACAGCCGTCATAGCCAGTGTGTGGACCTTCTTCCTGGAAAGGGGACGCGGTATACATTGTTGTTATACATGATGGCTTAACTACAGTAGCTGGCAAACTACATGCCATTTCTCAGAGGGCCACAGCTTTTGTTCCAGCCCAACACAATTATTATTTTTTATCAGGGCTGGAATAAAAACCTGTGCAAATTGCAGCCCACAACAACCATGGCTGGCAACCCTTAATCAAAGACCATTATAACCCTGTTAATACTCTCTACAGCCATAATTATAATCATATTGCATAATCAACCTGAAGCTCTCAACCAGCACCAGCTCCTCCCCGCTGAACTGGTTGTTGCGGTAGAGGACACCCAGCTTCACCACCATCTTGATGAGGTTCTTGATGATCTTCTGGGCCTCCTTGCGGTTGCGCGTGTATTCCTTGGTGACGCGGTAGAGCTCGTCCAGAACCTCGCTGCTGGTGTCGTCGATGAAGAGGTTAGCCATGCTCTTGGTGGCCATCTTGCTCATCAGCTTCTTCTGGGCCTGAAGGGCCAGGCTCTTAGTACTGAAGGAGTCCATAATGACGTCTGGAGAGAGAGAGAGAGGGAGGGAGGGAGAAGAGAGAGAGTTGGGTCATACAGATGCACATTCACTGAAACCTGATGGTGGATTTTCTTCCTTCTTAATTATATACTGTACAGAGAGGAAATAACAGATGTTTATTTGGATGCATTCCTGACAACATATGGGAAACACCCTATTTGCCTTTAGCATTTCTAGCAAAAGCATATGATGCAGAAATAATAAAAAAGACAAGGAACAACTGTTTTATGCAAATTATCACATTTGATTATTTCATTTTCTCATCTGAATGAAGGCATTGAAGAGTCTTGCTACTGATGTGCAATCCCTTAGTATAACTAGGATGTCATGGGACATGAAGACCCAGTCACCAATTAAAATCAAATCTAAGATACCAGTGACATGATACAAGAATGACATCATCAAGTAGGAGTGATGAGAATCACTGCAGTTCTGCAAAGCAGCCAATGACAGGACTGTCTCTGCAGCACCGGCTGAATCCACATTTAGAACACAAAGAGGTTTGTGTGTGAGGATGGGCTATAGCGTATGTGTGTGCGCATTTGTGGAGAGGCTAGCTCCGAGCTGTGTGTGTGTTGCGTTGCCTGCCAAAGCACAATGACTCAGATGAAGCCTCAACACATTGTGGCAGCTCATAAACAATGGGTCAGGGGGCCACAGGCTTTCATATCTTCTGCATTTCCTCGGCCAGATGAGCCTTGCCCCGGGCCCGACAGTACAGCAGTAGCTCCGCAACAACAAGAACCCAGAAACGACAGGTTCAGGTTCAGACCTGGCCATGTTCAGCCTGTCTCAATCCTTTAGGAAGTAGGATGAGGTTACCCCTAGAGACTGATCCAAGGTCAGCGGCTCATTTTACCCCCCAAAGGCTAAGGTTATAAATTAGGGAAGGTAAGCTGAGCCTAGACCTGTGCCCATCTCTAGCATCTCACAAGTCAGTATTTATGCCCGTTAAAGAGAAACATTAGTGTCACCTCTAATATGTGACATTATCCTAGCAATCTTTACTCCCTCCAAGATGAAAACAATATCAAACCTTTATTAAAATTCTAAATGTGATTGGATGCTAATCCGAGCGCTCATATTCACCAACAGTAATAATATCTGCTAAGTATTATTACTGTAAAGCAGCTGACCGACTGCAGAATGAAATGTGCCTGCTATGTGACTCATGTGACTTCCACTCCTCTCCGCATTGTCTCTCCAAGAATACCAATTGGTCTCCTTTGAGTGTCAGCGGGACGGTTTTTCTTCCAAGGGAGTACCCACGTCAGAAACCAAAGACAAGCTCTCCCTGCAACATTGTCAGAGAGGGATGTAAAAAAATAAAAAATACGCTACATTCAATCACAATGTGTTAATGAGAATCTGAACAGAGATGCTGTGAGGATAGAGAGGAGTACATCTTGCGACACCGCGCAAAGAAATCAAAGTTCACAAGCCCCTCTCTGCTGGAAGTATGAAAAAAACAGATTCAGCGCATTAAAAAGAAACCTTTCAGAGCCTGGAGAGTGAAGAGTGATTTTCAGGGGGCTCATTAAATTCCTCTCCTGTCAGAGAGAAGAACTTTAATGGAGTCAGTGGCTGTGATGACTAATACTGCCGTGAAGAAGGAAAAATATAAAAGCCAGTATTTGTCTTTCACCACGGTGAATCCAAACACTTAACTCCAGATGTGATGGATACTCAGGAGCATCTGTAGTTTTACTCAAAGCCAAAGAATGACAACAAATTATTCTGGAGCTGGCAATCACAAATGTAGGGAGATCCTCTCTCTCTCTCACTTCTCTCTCTCGCTCTCATGAGATGGGAGGCTTCGTGAAAGGACAAGCGGTTAGAATGATGAAACACTTTCTATCAAGGATTCCTGCCTTGTAACTGTGCAGTGGGAGTTGTTATGGCCAAATATAAGCTGCTGTGTGAACTGGGCCCAGGCAGGGAAAGCTTGGCCAAGCTTGGATCCCATCTCAGCACTATTTATACTGGCACTGCTAGAATGGATTGAAAACAGAACGAGACATGACAGCATTACTGTGTGTTCGGGCAAAATACAGTATATATATATGCCACGGACAACAACAGAGCAATTAATACTGGTTTTCTGTGAGCTTGGCAGGCACTCTGGAATGAGAGACAAAAAGCTGGCGTATCAACTGGATTTACTTAAACCAACAACAGTGCAGTGTAATCCAGAGAGTGCTTAAACTATTTAGTAAAAAAAAAAAAGTCCTCAGAGTAGAATAGGTAGGTAAACATCTCAACATGTAGGCTAAAGGCACACATGACTCATGGAAAAGAAACACGACCCTGGGCCTCTTTGGTAGCCAGGGACCCGGCCTGGCTGGCGTCCCCAGAAGCACTCACCCTCCTGCAGGTGAAAAGTGGCCTCCAGAGGCTCCATGCTGGGTGTTGTGAGGGACACAGAGAGGGTCTGTGGAGGTTTGAGGGCCAAGCATGTGTCTGAAGGTCTTCTTACTGGTCTGCCTGTCTGTCAGGCTAGTATTGATTGTCAGGTGAAAGACGACCAATGATTGGATACACCTGGAGCTCCCTGTCCCGTCCACTCTGCCTCATGCCCCACCCCTCTCCTCTCCTAAGCCTCAGGGAAGATGAGACAAATCCCCACCCATTCTCAATACTGCTCCCCCAACTCAAAACTAGACTGGTCGGCAGAAACCTGTATAGAAGTTTCTGTGAAACTACTTCAAAAGATCAAGGTGGAATATCTAAGCATGTCTGGAAATACTGTAACTATATTACTTTAAACAAGGGTTTATATTATTCAAGAGTGAATAATATGTTTTAGGCTATGTGTGGCTTGCTTATAATTCTGATTGCATAGCCTACATACATAACATTTATTCTAAATAGGGGGAAAAGGGGAGAAATACCCCAACACTTTTTTAGTACTGTAACATGTCTCAGGAACTTAGATTTCCAGAAATGTATGACATCACCCTTATCTACAATAAGAGACAATATGCACAATGGTTATGTAAAAATGTATCTGTGCTTTGTGTTGGGTCTGAACTGATCACCTCACAATCAGCTCTTCACATGAAACATTTCTTCTGTCTGGTAATGAACAGGATCAATTAGGATTACTGGCTGCTGCAATTTCATCAAGTTTTGACTCCTCTCCTCTCTCCTACTCTCCTCTCTCCTACTCTTGAGCTGTTGCATAACAGTGGAGGTGCTGATGAGTGCTGGGAACTCAGTTTTGTATGGCTGTGATGTGTGTATGTGTATATGTATCAGTGTGTGTGTGTGTGCTGTCGCTCTATCATCCTCCCACACAGTATCAGGGGTTGTGCACATTGCCTAAGGGGGAGACAGTCCCTTTTTTAGAGTCTTCTCAGATCTGAAAGAGCCTGCTGCTGGATTAATAATTAACGTGGCAGCGAAAAAATGGATCACCTATTAATAATTAATATGACCAATTAGAAAAAATAGACCAGGGTAAGAGAAGTCTGCCGTGATGCCACAGGTGAACCGGGAAATGTGGGACAGGGCTGAGGGGTCAAACTCAAACAACATCAGGGACAAATGGTGGAAAATAATACATTAAAAACGTGAATGAATAGGTTATGTGCAAGCTAAAACCTGTTTAAAACAATAGACCCATAGATAAAGGTAGATGACTTAGATGACTAACTCGCCTGTTATCAGTTTAACAATGGCACCCCCACATGGACTTTGAGGAAACATGGCATGCCTACAAAGGAGTTTTATATCAAGTGTTTTATTGACCGACAGATAAGCGATCACAAAGACACACACACCCAAACATCTCTCTCACAAGCACACAAGCAGCCTCAAATTCCAATTCAATTCTTGAATTGAAGTAGTGAACAGGATCCAGAATTGCAATTCGAATTTGAATGAAAGGAAATAGAATTGAATTCAGTGAAATTCAAATGCCGCTTATATTCTATATTAGGTGTAGTCTATACAAATATTCTGTACATCTTGTACATAAAACATCAAACACGTTATATACATGCATATAAAATACTGTTGAAACAATAGATTTTCAGGACAAACTTAAAATGAATGATCAAGGAAAATATTCTAAGTTATTATATTATATTTAATGAATCACTTAAATGTTGTTAAATATGGGGATAATACTACATTTCCCAGAATGCATTAGTTTAACCCTCAAGTTAATAATAATAATAATATAAGTTGACCTTGAGGCCTTCAAAGAGAAGCTAAACAAATCAAACGGTTGGTGGAAATCTAATTGGCTATTCTAAACATTAAGGTTAAAAGTATATGAACATTGCTTCCAGAGAAAAGTGATATAATTTTTCTATAGACGGGTTGGTTGTTTAGCAACAAAACCGATATGTGCGCAACTATGGGGCAAAACAGACAGGGTTGGCTTATTAGAATCTTGACAATATGTAAACAATATTTCATTTCCAATGTTTATTGAAATAATAAATAAATTAGCACAATGAGCACTTGTTGTCTCTCAAATACATTGTTACAGTTGTTGGTTAGCTAGCTAGTGAATTTTAGCCATATTAGCATTGACATGAAATCAGTCATAACACCTCAAAATAATATAAATAATAATATGCCATTTAGCAGACGCTTTTATCCAAAGCGACTTACAGTCATGCGTGCATACATTATTATTATTATTATTATTTTATTTTTTTATCTAATCAAAAGACATGGTATCAAGAACAAGATGAATCAAGCCACTTATGATTCCCCACACGGCAGTTTCTTGTCATTGTTATTAGCCATCTGTCCACCCAGAATCACAACAACTCACGGACTTCTGCCCCATTGAAGCGTGCCCATTGTTTTCGTGACGTTGACAGCTAACCCATCTATTACTGAGGGGAAGGTATTTGAATAGCACTACATTTTACTTCCTACCACTCAAACTCAAATTCTACATCCTGTGGGTGTGGAAAATGCAATTCAAATTTCAACTCATGAGTATCTATGGTTGAATGGGAGTAAATAAAAAAATTCTGAATAGATACACAGGGCGAGGTGTGGCTTAACATGACCACGCCTCCGAGTAGGGTACAGACATAGGGTCCTCCCATTACTCCCATGTAATTATCCAAACTTTGGTGTCATCCTAAGCAAACTACTGACACTTGTCGTTTCAATAAACGTTTTCAGCAGTGTCACATGTCGTTATTAACATATTTGGCTGTCACAACAACAAATGATTTGCATGATACGTATTCTGCCACTAATGTGTTACCCGACCCAGTAAAGCTAGTTAAGCTGTCGCATTATACTTACGTCACCGTTTGTTTAAATCAAGCTTTTTTGCCGGTTAACTGACGTTAGCTGGCTGGCTTGCGAGATAAATTAATCTCGATCTAAATCGCTAGTCTTAGATATGCCGCGTAACTACTTCCAGTCTTTGCCTCCCCTTGAACGGTCTAGGTATTTAGAAAAAAATATTCTTGTTGACTTCCTATATGTCCTTTAAACTTGCCGGAGACCAGCTGTGCAGACAACCCTACCAAATGGACCAAAGTATCCTATGGCGATATCTACACCTACTTGGTGGAATCTCCAGGTTTACACTGGCAACAAACATAGCTAGTTAGATACAAACAAGTGTTAGCTACCGATTTACCGTGAATTAAGTGCGTCGAACACACAAATGTATCAAGTAACCGGAGCCCACAGATTTCCATCATCATCGCGGCGTATAGCCTGAAACCATGAGGTTCGTTTAACCTGGTCCTTGGGGCAGTTGATTAAACTTCTCTTACGAAAAAAGATTTCAGCCAGAGTGCAGTATAACTGCAATACACTGCAGTATAACTGCAGTTAGAGCGCAGTATGCTGCAAATACTGTGTCCAAAATAACCGTTTTTACTAAGATTTGATTTGGTGGTCTTTTCTCCTACTATTGTTCAAACAAAACGGTGTGCAACAACTTTTCGGCATCTTAGTTATAAAAGCAGGGTTAATTAGCTAACGTTAGCTAGTTGAAGAAAGTCCATTGGAATCGGCTCTTTGGCTGATAATGGTGACATACCTTCAATGCGACAGTGTTGAATGATTTAAAAAATAATACAACCAGTGTCGGGTTATGAGTAAAGTAGGCAATTTAACATGGGAGTAAAGGGAGTACCCCTCGTCTGTACCCTACTCGGGGGCGTGGTCATGTTAAGCCACACCTCTTATGTATCTATTAAGCTCAACCCTGGCACACACACGTTTTGTTCGTCAATCCTCGTGGGGGCCTACAATTTACACACACACAGTGAAAGAGAAACAAATGTCCCAAAGTCATACTCTATGTAATGTGTCATTTGTCTCTAGTCTGTCATATATGCAGTGGCGGCTGGTGAAAAATATTCTCGGTGGGGCTGTGCCATACTTTTTTTTTCCTGTAACCATCGCGATATATTTTAACACAAACTGCAGGACAGCAGTGCTCAGTGAAACATTCAGTAATTATTTAATGCCAATATTAAAAAGTTGAGGCATTCTTACACAAAAACATATTACACAAACCCAAGCCTTTCATTTGCATTTAAAGTGAACTTTTCACCATTGGTAGTAAACAGGCAACGCAACAGGCATGCTGTCAGAACAGAGTGGAAAGTGGACAATAACATGAAATTATTATAAAGTTTATAGGAAATCTTACACTGTATAAAAGGATGTATAATATAGAAATGGATATCAAGTGGATGAACTCAAACCTTTGACTGGAAGAATAGCATACAGTATTTTATGATCATACTAAATGTGACTAATTGTTAATGTGCTCCAGAACTGCAACAATTAATTGATACAAAACAACATATATACAGTAATATTAGCAAAGACACTATTAAGACTTTCTAGAGTACCATATATAACTGGATTTTTTATGCTAAGGTCAACTATATACAAAGAAACATGCGGCCAGAGCTGCTCTGTGTGATGACCAGACACATTTAGGCTTTTAAACTGTTGTAAGTGAACTATTCATCTTTCTAACAACATCTTTATCAGCCAATAGTAAATATAGTTATTTACCTGATTGTTAGCATGCTGTCTGTGAACCTCTGGACAAGTGCTTTAATGAAGACAGGGTCGATGTTCCTCTTCTGCAGCTGGCTGAAAAGCATGTCCACATTTGGCATGATCTTGTGGAACAGTGCCAGGAAAAAACAGAAAGCCTCGTCTTCGAGCATCCTCACAAAGCCCCCCGCCTCTCTGACAGTCGGGGCATCAAAGTTCCCAGAGTCTCTGATGGTCTGGAAACACGTTAGGAGGTCATCCCTGTACTCGTACACAGTGTTTACAGCGCGACTGTGGAAGTTCCACCGTGTTGTAGAGGCTCTGGGGAGTCTATGCGCAACCACTTCGTCAAGCACGGTGGTTCGCTTGGGAGACCTGGAGAAGAAAGCAGAAAATCCTGCAAGGTCGGAAAAGAAAGTGCCGATCCTGGGGATGCGTGAAGTAGCCTGCTGCATGATGAGGTTCAGCTGATGTGCATAGCAGTGGACGTAGTGCGCATTTTCGTACACATCCACTATTTTACGCTGCACTCCGCCGGTGGCTCCCCTCATCACACTTGCTCCGTCGTAAGCCTGGGCAATAAGTTTGGCCTTTTGTCCATGTGAGAGTATGGTGCTGAGCCTCTCCAGCAGCGCTGTAGCGATGGTGTCGGCGGTTGCGTTCTCGATCAAAATGAACTCGAAAAAACGCTCTTGGACGTTACTTTTAGCATCGATGTAGCGTATCACAAGCACCAACTGGCAGTGGGTGGAAACGTCAGTCGTCTCGTCAGCTTGAATGGCGATAAAATCAGCACTCTTTACTTCCTCCAGGATGTAATCCTTAAGCACTGACAGCATACAGTCCAACAGCTCGTTCTGTATCGTCTTTGACGTGCCCTTAAAAACGGTAGCTGTCTTCAGGTGCTCCTCCAGCACACTGTCGAGGGAGGCAACAAAATCCACTAAGCCCCGGAAAATGCCGGGGTTGTCCGAGGAGTCAGTCTCCTCGTGCCCACGCAAGGCCAACTCAAAAGCCCCACAGAACTTCACACAATCGATAATTTTGGATAGAATGTGCCTGTTTTTATCCACCTCCTCATTGTGTTTCCTCACCGCAATCCTGTGGCCGTCATCCAGCTGCGTAGCAATGTTCACCCTTCCTAATACAGCTAGCTTTACAGAGTTGTCCATGTGTGCCCTGGTGTTCTCATGTTTCTTTACCTTCTCTGACAGGTGCTTCATATCCCTCACTCCGGTACCTGTCCATGCTGAATCTGACCCCGTCGTTTTAAAAAGCAAGCACGGAAAGCAAAATAAAGCATTAGCATCAGTGCACCCAGCTAGCCAAGCCTTCCTGGTGTACCAGCTACGGGAGAAGCCGCGCATATACTGCTTCCCTTTCTCGCTAGCCTGCTGTCTGATTGAGAGGTCAGGTTGATCTGGGCCCAGCTCTTTCACCCGAACTTTCTCTGACAAAGTTCTCCTCTCAAACGGATCTTGGAGGAGAGATTTCACCGAGTTAGGGTTGGGTCTTGGAGGAGTAACGTTTGCGCTCGCCATTGTCGTCTAGTAAAAATGGCGCCACTGGAGCCCGGTCCTTATTTTATCAGGGGCGAGCTTGGGGCGATAAAATAATCGCCCTCCTTGGATTCGATTTAAGATCGCTGATTGGCTACATTTTATGTCATACATTCATATCTTAAATTAGCAATTGGCTTAACTGCTACGTAGACCCGCCTCCTCGGGGCACTTTCTGTATCGCCCAGAGCTGACGAGGCGTTTGACAGGCAGAGGAAAGGTTGCGAATATGATTTTCTATCATATCTTACACATATTACTGTGTGCATTCCATATTTCAAACACACAAATATTGACATACTGATGTTTTTATTATTATTATTATTATTATTTTTATTTTTTTATTTTTTATAATTTTATTTAAGGGGGCGGCGCCCTAGCGCCCTCTATCGGCCAGCCGCCACTGCATATATGTACTCCTGAGTGGCGCAGTGGTCTAAGGCACTGCATCGGCCGGCTGCGACAGAGCCTGGTTCGAATCCAGGCTCTGTCGCAGCCGGCCGCGACCGGGAGACCCATGGGGCGGCGCACAATTGGCCCAGGGTAGGGGAGGGAATGGCCGGCAGGGATGTAGCTCAGTTGATAGAGCGTGGCGTTTGCAACGCCAGGGTTGTGGGTTCGATTCCCACGGGGGGCCAGTATAAAAAAAAAAAATGTATTCACTAACTGTAAGTCGCTCTGGATAAGAGCGTCTGCTAAATGACTAAAATGTAAATATATATAGTCTTCTTTCTAGGAAGGATTCACTGCCCTTCCAAGGGGACATGCACAGACTGTTTCACATTTCCTACGTAACAGCTGAGGCTGCTGGCCAACTGAACTTTGCAGTCTTGTATATCAGGTCAAACACCTCTGTACTGCTCTTGTCAATGAGTTACCTTTCATCTCCACAGGGATAATCATACATTTCCAGCAGTGTTTGAGTGGTAGAAATCATGACAAACAGATTTGACATCAATTAATGTTGCGGTATTGGAGCTGGCTTCCTGGCCAAAGTGGACCTAAGTTCTCAGTTAGCTGAGCAACCAAACAGTAGCTGTAACTGACCCACTTGGTTGTCAGCCATAGCCAGCAAGGGTAGCAACGTAGACATACACACACAGTGGCGTAGCAACAATTGATATAAAAAACTATATATATATATTTTTTTATACAAATAAAAAAAATCACAAGCATTTCGCTACACCCGCAATAACGTCTGCTAAATATGTGTACGCGTCCCAATAAAATTTGATTTGATAAATAATTTATTCACAGACACAGCTGGTTAAAGCTGCAAGACGCAACTCATTCAAGACCGCAATTCATGCAAACTGAAAACGTTCAGATTCTCCTTCTACTAGTGACATAAGCAGTTAGTGTTGTATGATAAATTGTACTACCTGCCAGAATACACACAGAGAGGGTATTCATCCACATACTGTAAATACAATAAATGGCTTGTGGAGGAAAGAAGGCTGGCAATGGGACAGTGGCGTTTGAAACGCAAGAAAGGGACATGATAACACTAGGCTTCACCTTTTGTGGGGAATTCCATTCCATTAAAAACAATTGATTTGTAAACCATTTTTTAAATTAATTTCAATTTGTAAGGATTAAATCATTCACATCAGAAATGGCAGTTGTCATTCAAAACGAATAACTAAAATACTGAGCTAACATAAGGAAATAAAAATCTAATTATAAATCTTGGCTTATATTCTACAATATCGTGGGTTTATTATTGTATTTAAGGTCTAATGGCATTACACTGCCTATTCTAGTTATGACTAATGTAAATGTGTTGTGGGCAAATTGGGCATCACCCTTCCTTTAGCCAATTCTGCCACCTCCCACCCTCCATTGTATAGTTTCAAATGACTATGTAACCTATTATTTGTTAAATGTTTCTCAAAGACTGGTCAAGCATAGGCTAAAATACTATCTATGTTGAACTTACCTTTCGTTCAAATCAAACCGGATGCGGAGGGTGAGTAAAGTGACCGCGGATTACACTGCTACAATTTGACAATTTAATCTAGGCAAAATCTCGAGTCTTCATTATGGCAACCCATAGCAAGTCCATGAACATCACCATGAGTCGGTTCTTCGTCTTTACTCTAGAAAAAGGCTATTCTCCGTTGTCTTCCATGTAACTGTATTTTGTATCAGGTACTGGTGTGTAAATAATTGAAAAACTGTTTCTTCTCTCCCTGCTGAGATCGGTTACAGGAGTTTGTAACCCGACTCCTCCTCACAAAAAGTTTCAAATTTGAGGGACTTCGAAAGTTCAAGATTGATGTTACTATGGACCAATGGAAGAGCCCAGTAAAAAATTACCAAACCAATCAGTGGGAAATGCCCGTTATTAGTTCAACATTCCCTGCCCCCATTCGGCTTCCAGTAATTATCCTCATCTACCTCCCAAATCCAAGGTTGAACATTTCCCAAAGGAAATGGCATTAGGTGAACAATGAGCAGGAACTACGAGGAGTTAGTTTGACATAAACAAAATGGCTAGTAGACGACAAAATTAGTTTATCATAAATATGAATTATTTGACCTAATTAAAGGAAAATATTGTCTCAGTAGATGACTTCGGCAACATTATTAATCAAAACGGATTTATGTATAACACACACAGAGAGAGAAAGATAAAGAGAGAGAGAGAGAGAGAGAGAGAGAGAGAGAGAGAGAGAGAGTAAAACCAGACATCTAGGTGTTTTACGGCGGATGTTTTCTGGACCGGACAGCACCGTTTTTCCCGGTCTATGAATGAATGGGTTTAGCAGGAATTCCGGAGGTTATGGTGTTCATTGTGAATCACATGTGTTTTAAACAATCAACAAGCTCCTTTTCTCTTATGGTCTGGATGTAAATGAATATAAATAGGTCTAACTCAAGCCAGATTTAATTGGGCTATTTTAAACAGATATTGTAGGTTAAAATACATAATATTATAGAATAGCACCACATTTACATAGCCTAGTTAGCTCATAGTACTCTGCAATCCAGTCATCAATATTATTGCATTTTATGCTTAGCCTACTGTCATCCTTATCACAAGGTAGCATACCTTCACCCGCAACCTGCAAGCTAGTAGGCCATTTAATGGGAAAGCTTGTTAAGAGCCCTTCAGTGGAGCATTTGGATATTGCAACTTTGTAACCAATGAGAGATACTGTAGCAAACAGTGATACATTAGCTAATCTCTGAGCCACATTATAACTATCGAGATACACACTCTATTTAGCTTGAAAATACATGATCATTTTTCTAATAAGTATACTATATAAAAACACCCATCAAAAGGTGACCTAATAACGATTTACTTGATTACATCCATATTCTCTGTGATTAGTAGGCAAAAGACAAACAAATATGTTTCGTGTAAACAGAAACCAATGGACACACATGAGCATAAAATATGTAATTTTGTGTATTGACTGGATTTTTACAGAAATAAACGAATGTAATCAAACATGGTAAAGATACAACATTTCAACAACATAGCCCATGCGCCTTAGTAAATACGTTGTGTGTAAATCAGTATCACTTTTAAGTATGGATTTGTTTTTTATTTGATATATTTTGTGGTTTCCAACCGTCCAGTTGGTGGCGGCAATACAACTTTTGGATGTAGTCCGCCATCAAACCCACAGAAGAAGAAGAAGAAATACGTTGTGTGCTGACGCGTCGGCACTACGTGTCCAGGAAGTCATCCAGTCAACATGGCGGCGCAACAAGGAGATGTTGATGAACTCTTCGATGTGAAAAATGCTTATTATATCGGCAGTTATCAACAATGTATAAATGAAGCCCAGAAAGTTAAGGTAATTATCTGATGATAAACCGTTTGTACAATGTGGCTAAGCCTATATATTTCTCAAGTGTAGCTGTATTACACTGGACTGTATAGCTAACAAATCAACTAGTTAACATCGCTGTTGTAATAGGAATGAACTATCTAACGTTAGATAGCTAACGGTAAAACAACAAAAAAGTCAACTACTTATTTTCCTCTTTGCAGCCATCAACACCTGAGAAGGAGGTTGAGAGAGACATGTTTCTGTACAGAGCCTACGTTGCCCAGGTAACTAAACCATTGCACATAGGAACACTCAGTTTATAGGAGTGTCAATTTTTGTACCACCACCTATCAGGAAGTGCAATTAGCCATCACACCTCATTCTGTCTTGTTTCAGAGGAAGTATGCTGTGGTGATGGATGACATCAAGGCCAGCTCCTCGCCAGAGCTCCAGGCTGTCAAGATGTTCGCTGAGTATCGCTCCAACGAGGGCAAAAGGTCTGAACCCATTAGTGTTCAGGATTGTGATTGTAAACGGTCAGTACACAACTCACCTAAGATGATATGCTCTTTGTTGACTCCTTAGCTGGCATTACAATATTGTTGTTTTTTGTGCAGGGATGCCATTGTGGCTGAACTTGACAAGAAGATGGCCGTGGTGTAACAATATTGCTGTTGTTGCTTCTTGTGCAGGGATGCCATTGTGGCTGAACTTGACAAGAAGATGGCCAAGAGTGTAGATGCGGACAACACAACCTTCCTGCTCATGGCTGCGTCCATTTACTACCATGAGATGAACTCTGACGCTGCCCTGCGGACCCTGCACCAGGGAGAAAGTCTGGAATGGTAAAGACAATCACAGGATACTATTCACATTTGTAAACCCTGTTTTTATGCGTGATTCAGTACGTTTATGTCCCTCTTTTTCTTTTCAGCATGGCAATGACCATTCAGGTGCTGCTGAGTTTAGAACGTGTTGATTTGGCAAGGTATGTCCGCTCCACACGGCATCTGATTAAATGACTTTTAAGTAAATTGAGCTAAAAGGATTCAGCAAATTGAAGATATGATTCAGTGTTGGTCATATATGGCATTGTTTACTTATTTTGACACCTGTCATTCAAAGGAAAGAGCTGAAGAAAATGCAGGAGCAGGACGAGGATGCCACACTGACCCAACTGTCCACGGCTTGGGTCAACATCGCTGTTGTGAGTGTCAGCCCATAGTGAAGACCAGTGAAAAAAATTAACAGCTGCCAAATGCGGGTAGATTTAGGTATTGGCAGGCAAGAATGTCTATTTCACAAGCCACGTAGGCGGGTGGTGAATTTGCAAGGTGGTCATTCCATTCGCATTTGCGAATAAAAATTGGTTAAAAAGTATGAGCACATGTGTGAGTTGTGGTTTATAGCAGGAAAATGCTGCAGTAGCTGTTTTCAAAATATTTCTGCCATTTTGTTTCATAGCTGCTAATCGCACAAAGAAATACACATCTATATCCCACCTCGCACAGCAACACTGCCTGACTGGGGAGCTTTGTGCACTGTGCTGATAGATTCATTTTTGGAGGTGCTGTGCAATGGCATAAGTTTGTCTAATTTACTCAAGTCTACAAAGTGAGACTTTGTCCTTGTTGTTTTGTTCACAAGCTTGGTTGTTTTTTAAAGTTAGTTTGAGTCTGCTGTTTCAACTGATAGCGAAGAGATGCCGTCTACTACTAGTGCAATCCTAAATCTCACACACACAGACACACGTGACACGACTCAAGTGGCCCCGTTATCACGGTAACCTCCCGCCCTTAAAGTGGCTGCTGTAAATTGTCTCATCTGACAACATTTTTTATGAAATTTAGCAATATATCACATTACTTCTTACTAAAACATTTTTTGTTTTAGAAAGATTACAAAGCATGGTCATCTGTTTTTTTGTGTTTTTGTATGGCGGGAAAAATATTTTGGCTGGTATAAAAATCTGAGTGGCTGGTAGATTTTTCCATCTACCTGCCACGGTGGCTGGTGGACCAAAAATAAAATGTTAGGCCCTGATGAAGACCCCCTACATACTAGAATATTTCAGTGCAACGGGCCCTATTTGCCCTCCACCTGAAATAAATGGGCTTTTATTGACAGAGCACCACTCTCAATGTAAAAGTAGTCATCACTTTATGATTGAATTCAGCTTTTTGCTCAATCATTAAGAATAAAACTCAATTTCAGTCTTTCATCTGATCAACAGAAGAAAAAAAAACTGGATTTTTGATGACTCTTCCTTTTTTCCTTTTTTCCAGGGAGGAGAGAAGCTGCAGGATGCTTACTACATTTTCCAGGAGATGTCGGATAAGTACTCCCCAACTCTGCTTCTTCTGAATGGCCAGGCTGCCTGCCATATGGCCCACAACAAGTGGGAGGAGGCAGAGGGGGTTCTCCAGGAGGCACTAGACAAGGTCATTACTTACCTCAAATGCACTCTAATATCTTAATCCACTGCAGACATATTTCAGAGATTAATCTGTTGAGATGTGTAAAGGGTTGAATAAATAAAGATGAACACTAACCGATAGTATAATATTATAGGACGTTACAGTGACGAAATTGAATAGTACCATTTGAATTAGTTTAACCAATTAGTGATGTCTGTTGTCTCATCCAACCACAGAGCAATACAAGTTTAATGTCATCATAAGGGAAATACTTGCAACTTTTTCAATTGAACAGTAGGTGGCGGCAAATGCTATATATTTTTTGGTCCCAATGGTCTGCAGTTAATCTGAGATGAGAAAAAATTAATTGGCCAGAGTACAACCAATACCATGTTGGGTTGTCATGGAAGACTGATCCTTGGTTAAGTAATTACACAAAAAGATAATCTGTGGGTGTTTTCCAAACTCTCATAGTCTGTTTTCTCCCTAACAGGACAGCAGCCACCCTGAGACTCTGATCAACCTGATTGTGCTGACCCAGCACTTGGGCAAAGCTCCTGAGGTGAGATTTTGGACCTATATGGGGATTCCTCAGGGTGTATCAGGTTTTGCCACAGATACTGAGAAATGTTTGTCTCAATTTAGTTTTGTTTTTGGTTTGTTTGGCAGACATTATCAAGGCCTTTAAATGGCAAAGGTTTGCCGATATCTTGCACTTTAGTGCCCTTCTTAAACCGCAAGTAATAAACTCAATAACACAATATTCTAGAGATAAAACCTTAAAAATATCTGCTCTGTGCCAGATTGAGGTGATAGTGAGTAAATAATCAATAGAATCGTTACTTTCTACAGAATGCTTTCTTCAATGGGGGTCAAAATAATTGCTGATAATTACCCAATCAAGGATATTAGAACGTGTATAAAGAGTAGACCTTGTTCTAATGATTTATGCTCAATTATCTTTGGTAGTAACTTCCTTAAAGGGATTATCTGGTACTTTTCTATACTTTTTAGTAGTTCAAAAGTGGTCTCCAAAAATTGCATCACATACAGTGCATTCGGAAAGTATTCAGACCCCTTGACTTTATCCACATTTTGTTACGTTACAGCCTTATTCTAAAATGGATTACATAGTTTTTTTCCCTCATCAATCTACACATTTTCTTTTAGCAAAAAAATATATATATACTGAAATATCACATTTACATAAGTATTCAGACCCTTTACTCAGTACTTTGTTGAAGCACCTTTGGCAGTGATTACAGCCTCGAGTCCCTCTTGGGTATGACGCTACAAGCTTGACACTTGTATTTGGGGAGTTTCTCCCATTCATCTCTGCAGATCCTCTCAAGCTCTGTCAGGTTGGATGGGGAGCATCACTGCACAGCTATTTTCAGGTCTCTCCAGAGATGTTCAATGGGGTTCAAGTCCAGGCTCTGGCTAGGCCACTCAAGGACATTCAGAGACTTGTCTCAAAGCCACTCCTGCGTTGTCTTGGCTGTGTGCTTAGGGTCGTTGTCCTATTGGAAGGTGAACCTTCGCCCCAGTCTGTCCTGAGTGCTCTGGAGCAGGTTTTCATTAAGGATCTCTCTGTACTTTGCTCCGTTCATCTTTCCCTCGATCCTGACTAGTCTCACAGTCCCTGCAGCTGAAAAACATCACCACAGCATGATGCTGCCACCACCATGTTTCACCGTAGGGATGGTGCCAGGTTTCCTCCAGACGTGACGCTTGGCATTCAGGCCAAAGAGTTCAATCTTGGTTTCATCTTACCAGAGAATCTTGTTTCTCATGGTCTGAGAGTCCTTAGGTGCCTTTTGGCAAACTCCTGTCTCGGAGCTCTACGGACTTTCCTTCGACCTCATGGCTTGGTTTTTGCTCTGACATGCACTGTCAACTGTGCAACCTTATTTAGACAGGTGTGCCTTTAAAATCATGTCCAATCAATTTAATTTACCACAGGTGGACTCCAATCAAGTTGTAGAAACATCTCAAGGATGATCAATGGAAACAGGATGCACCTTAGCTCAATTTCGAGTCTCATAGCAAAGGTTCTAAATACTGGGCCTCCCGAGTGGCACAGCGGTCTAAGGCACTGCATCGTGGTGCTAGAGGCGTCACTACAGACCCGGGTTCGATCCGGGTCTGTGGTGTTAAGAAGCGCGGGCGGGTGTTAAGAAGTGCGGTTAGGCGGGTCATGTTTCAGAGGACGCATGACTCGACCTTTGCCTCCCGAGCCCGTTGGGGAGTTGCAGCGATGAGACAAGATCGAAATTGGGCAGAAAAGGGGGTAGAAAACAAAATTGTAAAGTTATTTCTGTTTTTATTTTTCATTAATTTGCAAACATGTCATTATGGGGTATTGTGTGTAGATTGATGAGGATAAAAAAAGTTTAATCCATTTTTGAATAAGGCTGTAATGTAACAAAATGTGGAAAAAGGGAAGGGGTGTGAATACTTTCTGAATGCACTGTATGTGCAGATATGTGCACCACGTCATTGCTCTCTCTCTCGCTCTGCTGTGGGTGCATCTTGTGAAAATGTAGGGATAATGGCGCAGCACAGCTTCCAGAAATATAGTTGCTTTCAAACTAGGGATTTCGTGGCTAATTGAGGTAAGACAGTAATTCTGTTAATAGATTATGCATGTATGAACTACACAGTGAGTATGTTTACATGCACACTAATAATTAGATATTAAACTGATTATGGCAGTAGGCCGAGTATGCAATAGTCATGTAAACACCTTACTCTGCTTATCTTAATCGGGGTAAGGTCAAAATGTAAGTAAGCATATGCTGAGTAAAACACATGGTTTTCTGAGCAATCTTTTGAGTTATTAGGACATGTAAACACCTTAATTGGCGTTCCAGCTGTGTGTTTGATTTGCGCATGTACCAGTACCAGCCGAGTGAGCCTCCCTCTTCAGCGCGAGTGAAGTGTGAGTTCGGAAACAACAATGTATGTCTTAGAAGTAGTTTTCACATACAAACTTTATATGTCCGAACTCGGAATCAAATATGCTTCCCAAAAATAACATGTTCGCTGTGGTAGAACGTTTATTTTGATTGGCGATTCTCTGCATTTATCAGAGTGCCGTCAGGTAGCCTGATTTCAGATGTGTTCATGTAAACAGGATTATTAGGGAAATTGTTCTTCTTGCAAAGCATGTAAACGTTTTATTGGAATATTATATTAATCTGACTATCCTCAATAATCACATTATTGTGTGCATGTAACCGTACTCATTGACACATCCAGCCCAAAGCGGAATGTTTAAAAAATACTAAGTAGTCGCTAAAGTTCAGGAGCATGTCTTTAACATCAATCTGTTATGCATCTGTTTGCAGGTAACCAACAGGTATCTCTCTCAACTGAAAGATGCCCATAGAGCTCACCGCTTCCTTAAAGATTACCTGGCCAAGGTATGTTGATTACATTTACCCGTACACAGTTCTGTTACATCTTGAATCAATGCATTCTTCAGCTGTTGGTCAGTCTTTGCTCTCTTGGAACTAAATTAAATTATTTGATTGGTTGCACTGTAGGATATCTAGTCCAATGAGATCATTTAAAAACAGTCTGACTTTGACTCAGACTTCACTACACATAATTACCCAATAAAGAAGTGTAAATAAACATTGAAATGTCAGGTTGTATCACTCAATGGACCAGTTTATTGCAGTGCACAGCAGTTTTACTAGTTTAATATGTTCTACTGTGTGTTAAATGTTTCTTATTTCTTGCCTCAGGAGAATGAATTTGACAGACTGGCGATGCAGTATGCTCCCACTGCGACTGTTTGACACAATGGAGGAATCTGTTTGGACCCCAAAACATTATGAATACTGGATACACAACTGATTGCTCCATATCTATTTTTGTCTATCAATATGGAAAACTCAAAACTGTATGGATTAAAATTGACATGCACAATATTATTACCTTATGTGGTGGACAACAGATTTTCTTTATACTCCGAAGTAGTTGTAGTACATGAAATGTCCCTTTTGATATTGTCTCTTATGTTTAACATTTGCATTTCTCTAATTGTAAAACTGTTTTCTCTAAGCATTCCTCTGAATTGACAATAAATGTTTTATGACCCTGTGTGTGTCAGTGTGAAACGTTCTATTGAAATTCTTGAAATGTGGCCCGATGAGACTTGCTAGAGGTAGACCCATCTTTTCCCCCCTGTCTTGTCCAATTCACAGATTCCCTTTTCTTTTGTCATTTTGCATGTGAAATTATCTATTTTGTAAATGAGTGGGCCATTCAATTCATGTAGAAATTCGTCTGTGCATGTCCAATGTACAGTTTCAACGTGTTTTCTGGAAAAGTCGGCATCGTGTACTTGATGTGCTGCAGTTACATGTTGCACTGTCGCTTTAAATTATTTTAGTTTTTTTAAATCCCAACAGTTGAAGAATATAGCGGGACAATAATTACGTAACGCAAACTGCTTTTTTTACATTCAACTCAAACACTAAACTGACTATCCTACCGATCCTTGACTTCGGCGATGTCATTTACAAAATAGCCTCCAACACAGTGCCATCCGTTTTGTCACCAATGCCCCATATACTACCCACCACTTTGTCGCCAAACCCACTGGCTCCAGGTCATCTATAAATCACTGCTAGGCAAATCCCCGCCTTATTTTAGCTCATTGGTCACCATAGCAACACCCACCCGTAGTATGCGCTCCAGCAGGTATACCTCACTGGTCATCCCCAAAGCCAACACCTCCTTTGGCCGCCATTCCTTCCAGTTCTCTGCTGCCAATGACTGGAACGAACTGCAAAAATATGTAGCTGGAGACTCATGTCTCCCTCACTAACTTTAAGCATCAGTTGTCAGAGCACCTTACCGATCACTGCACCTGTACACAGCCCATCTGAAATTAGCCCACCCAACTACCTCATCCCCATATTGTTATTTATTTTGCTCATTTGCACCCCAGTATCTCTATTTGCACATAATCTCTTGCACATCTATCATTCCAGTGTTAATACTAAATTGTAATTATTTTGCACTATGTCCTATTTATTGCCTTACCTCCATAACTTGCTACATTTGCACACACTGTATATATATTTTATGTTGTATTTTTGACTTTATTTTTTGTTTACCCCATATGTAACTGTGTTGTTGTTTTTTATCGCACTGCTTTGCTTTATCTTGGCCAGGTCGCAGTTGTAAATGAGAACTTGTTCTCAACTGGCTTACGTGGTTAAATAAAGGTTAAATAAAAATAAAAAAATAATAAATTAAGGTGGCATTCGGAGCGGGTGGTGCACACTATAGTCGTGTCGGTAAAAACGTTTACTATACTTGTATTATTATAACCGGATAGGTGTCAAGTGCCATATGGAATTATGGTCTACATTGATTGCCATTAAAACAGCGCGCATTTCTCTGTCACTTGTCAAGACTCAGAGAGCATAGACACAGCCAGGACACGACGTTGACCATCAAGCAGTGGCATTGCACAGGAAGCCGAACATTGAGGATATATTCTAGACTTTTGTCGGCGTTACTGTTTTTTTGTTGTTGTATTAGAATGGTTTCAGGTCCACTGGTTTGGTGTCTGGTAGGAATAGGTTATTCTAGTTAATGAAATGACGGCGAGATGTTATATACAGCGAATAACGGAGATGAGACGATACAGAATGTAACGTTAGGCTCACAAGAATCACGTGATACCTCGACTGTACCGCTCTCTATGGCACATTAGGTAGCCAGATAATAATACTTGCAGGTTTTTTTTCTTCTTGTACAGCTATATCTAATCTCAGAAAGATTCAGCTAGCTAGCTAGTTTGGTAGCTGTTGTAAATGCTGGTCTATCCGGTAGTGTGCATTTCATTTAGCTAACCTTAGACGGCTGACAAGCTAGCTAAAATGAGGTAGTATGCGTAAAATAATTCCCAAAATTCTAACCAATGTTTACTGGATCATAGAATACATGTAATATTACAATATAGATAGCTAATTACGTTGGCTATTAAATACATCCAGCCGACTATTACCCTTGTTTGTTGTGGGCCTATATTCCAATCTGCATTAATTGTCACCTATGCGAAATGGGCCCATGTCTTAATTTAGAAAACAAAGAATTAGGCTACTTGAGAGGTTAAGCTGATTACAGTTTTTCCGCGTTTTTAAGTTAGCTAGCTGGCTAGCTAGTTTGGAAGCGTAGGAGCTTCCCGGGCTGCCTCGTGTAAGGAGAAAACACGCTCTGTGTTCCTAAACCAGGTTCAGTTTTCTAAATCGCCGTTTTCCGTGCCGCCACAATGGACAGTCACACCGGGGATGACATGAGTGTAGGGGAGGTCGAACCCATGCCTGGCTATGCGGATCTCATAACGAGAGTATCTACAGTGATGCCCAGTGCCTTGAGAGGCTGTAGCGCTTGCGGTCTAGAGCTCTCCAAAAGGACGCTCCTGGATAACGCTTATATTACCTGGACCGAAATCGGCCTTTTCTTCATCTGCGCCGTTATGTGGACGCAGATACGACGGGGACTAACAGAATGTCTGTTCCAGGTAGATACAGGCGCATTCTCACCTTCCCCTCAGTTTTGCATACTATACCTTAACATTTACACATTTCCCCACAAATACATACGTTCCCTATTTTCTTCAAGGACCATGATCCTTATTCTCGTTCCCTAATTATAGGGGCCTTCTATCAGAGTTCGGCCTTCATGGCTCACTATAAGGATGTTATTAATGTCACCTGTTTCATGTACCTTGCAGTATTAGTGGAATAAGAATAATTGTATTTCAATAATGATTAATCACATTTAATTTGTGAAGCCCACCACAGGATATGAAACACTCGTCCTTTTCTCTCTGGTATAAAAACATAAATTATTCTCTTGCTGAATTCAACAATTGTTACTGGGGCTTGTCCTCTTGACAAGTTCATCATGATGCCCATCAAATTGAAGCATATTAGGAAGACCTTCATTCTGAGGAAGGCTATGCATAATGCCTATATACTATACTCAGATACCTTGAGTCTCTGTGTGTGTCATGTGGCCAAGATGAAGTTCAGATACCAGGTTTAAGGTAACTGATTCAGTCAGACTACAGAAACCCTTCACCCCAGCTAATGAGGCTGCTATTGAAAAATAACTCCCAGGTTACAAAGACCAGAGCAGAGATGTGGAAAGCAAGCTTGGCAGAGGGGATTAGGGACCCATACATGGAAACCACAGACCTCCCTAATCACTGGTGATTGACTTAAGACCACAGACTGATGAGGAAATCAATGCATGTGAGATCTAGTCTACTACAATATTGTCTCGCGAACTGCTGTCACAGCACTAACACACGCGGGCTGTGTCTTAATTCCATTCTTTTACTTTTAGATTTGTGTGTATTGTTGTGAATTGTTAGATATTACTGCACTGTTGGAGCTAGAAACACAAGCATTTCTCAACACCCACAATAACATCAGCTAAATATGTGTATGCATAACATTTGATTTGATTAGATTTTTGGTTTGATGGCATGTGCTCAAACTATCTTGAAAGGTAAGGAATCCTCAACAAAGCAATATTCAGCAATTCTAGGTTATTTAGTCATTTCTTTGTTATTACACTGTATCGCCGAATGGTGTACTATTACATCTAGATGTTAGTCATTTAGCAGATGCTTTTATCCAGAGCGACTAGGGTTAAGTGCCTTGCTCAAGGACAGATTTTTACCTAGTCAGCTCGATGATTCGATCCAGCGACCTTTCGGTTACTGGCCCAGTGCTCTTAAACGCTAGGCTACCTGCTGCCCGAGTAAAGCAATATTCAGCAATTCTAGGTTGTTTTGTCATTTCTTTTAGAATAGTAGTAGCATCTATTTAATTGTTCTCTTACACACATTCGGTCAGTCAATCAATTTATTACATTACTGTTTGCATATCTTGGCCTATAAATGAATGAGCACATTAATAATCCTCCCAGTTTTGGGCTCTATGACAGGAAGTGTACTCTCTCAAGGCTCTGCTTAGAGATACACAGACTTGGACTCTTCCGCCCTGTTGGGGTTGACTGGGAGGGCCCTAACGTCTAGTCCTCACAGCTCATTATACAGACATTTGGCTGGGTAGGGGAGGAGTTAGGGTATGTGGTGCTATACACTGAGTGTACCACAGGAGGTTTGTGGCACCTTAATTGGGGAGAACGGGCTTGTGGTAATGACTGGAGTGGAAAGAGTGGAATGGTATCAAATACATCAAACACATGGTTTCCAGGTATTTTATGTCATTCCATTTGCTCCGTTCCGGCCATTATTATGAGCCGTTCTCCCCTCAGCAGCCTCTTGTGGAGTGTACAAAACATTAGGAACTCTTTCCATGACATAGACTGACCAGGTGAATCGTGGTGAAAGCTATGATCCTATATTGATGTCACCTGTTAAATCCACTTCAATCAGTGTAGATGGAGAGAGGTTAAAGAAGGATATTTAGGCCTTGAGACAATTGAGACATGGGTTATGTATGTGTGCCATTCAGAGGGTGAATGGGCAAGACAAAATATTTAAGTGCCTTTGAACAGGGTATGGTAGTAGGTGCCAGGCGCACCAGTTTGAGTGTGTCAAGAACTGCAACGCTGCTGGGTTTTTCACGCTCAACAGTTTCCCTTGTGTATCTAGAATGGTCTTGACACAACTGTGGGAAACATTGGAGTCAACATGGGCCAGCATCCCTCTGGAAAGTTTTGGACATTTTGTAGAGTCCATGCACAGATAAATCGAGGCTGTTCTGAGGGGAAAAGGGGTGCATCTCAATATTAGGAGGTGTTCCTAATGTTTTGTACACTCAGTGTAGACGGGTTGTCTGACAACGTCATGGAAATGATGCACGCGTGTGGCTGGAAGCCGTGCGTTGTTGCTGTGTGTTGTTGCATCATTGTAAATAAGAATTTGTTCATCATTTGCTTGCCTGGATAAATAAAGGTTTTTAAAAAAAAATGGTGATTCTGAACGATCAGATAGCTAGCAACAATGACAAGAATCTGCCACGTGGGGAATCGGAGGTGGCTCGTTTCAGCTAGTTTAATCTTGTTCTTGATGCAATGTCTTGATTTGAAGTGTTTTGACTGATTTCATGTCAATGCTAATATGGCAAAAAAAATCGCTAGCTAGCTAACCAACAACTATAACGATGTATTTGATAGACAACAAGTGCTCATTGT